GGACATTTTGATATTTATTCTTCCAATTCATGAGTGCAGAATATCTTCCAATTTATTTATGCTCTTTTTAATTTATTTTTTTTTTAATATATTTTATTGATTTTGTACAGAGAGGAAGGGAGAGATAGTTAGAAACATCGATGAGAGAGAGTCATCTATCAGCTGCCTCTTGCACACCCCCTACTGGGGATATGCTCGCAACCAAGGTACATGCCCTTGACTGGAATCGAACCTGGGACCTTTCAGTCCCCAAGCCGACACTCTATCCATTGAGCCAAACCGGTTTCGGCTTTTTTTAATTTCTTTAATTACTGTTTTATAGTTTTCAATATACAGGTCCTTGGCTAAATTTATTCCTAGATATTTTTATGCTTTTTAATGCAGTTGTGAATGGGATTTTCTTCTCTTAAAGTTTTTATTAGTGTATAGAACTGCAACAGATTTTTATAAAATGATTTTGTAGTGTACAGCATTACTGAATATTTTAATCCATTCTAAGCTTTTTTTAATGGAGTCTTTGGGGTGAATAACAGTGGTGAAAGTGGGTATCCTTCTCTTGCTCCTGATCTCAGAGGAAAAGCTCTTAGCCTTCACCACTGAGTATGATGTTAGCTGTTGGCATGTCATGCGGCCTTTATTAAGTTGAGGTACATTTCCTGTATACCCACTTAGTTTTTACCATAATGAGAAGTTTAATTTACTTTTTAAATTATGTATTAAACCAATACTAAATATATATTTGTCCTCCTCAAGGAAATAGGAACTGACCTTGGGAACGGCAGTTATGAAACTCACCAGGTAGGGAGAATTATGAGGATGCACTTGAATTTTTAGGGAATTAACAGCAGAGTGCAGGCTGACCTAAGATTTTTGCAGAATAGAATGGGCAGCCACACTATAATTTAAATATCACTCTCTGTGCTATAGTGAAAAGAATCCTATATGGTTATGCTTTTTGAAAAAATGTGGCTAATTAGGAATCACTTTCTCATAAATGTTAATTTTTATATGGGTGATTATTTCATTACAACTGCTCTTTGAGTAGCTTAATTACTTTTCTGGGTTAGAAATTTATTAGTTTCCATTTTAAAGTGCTTAAAACATGTCAGGCTCTGTGTAAAACATGTTGAATTCATTATTCTTGGAGATAAATATTATGATCACATTTTTCAAAAGCAAATGAAGCTTTAGAGAAGTACCCTACTCACTACTAAGCAGTGAAATCGAGAGTCACACTCAGGTTTAATTCCAACATCAGTATCACAACTCTATCCTGACTCTTGGTTTTCCTTACATATATATTACTTATGTACTCATTTAAAAATTGAATTATAGCCAAAACCAATTTGGCTCAGTGGATAGAGCATCGGCCTGCGGACTGAAAGGTCCCGGGTTCGATTCCGGTCAAGGTCACGTACCTTGGTTGCGGGCACACCCCCAGTAGGGGGGTGTACAAGAGGCAGCTGATCGATGATTCTCTCTCATCAATGTTTCTAACTCTCTATCCCTCTCTCTTCTTCTCTGTGTAAAATCAATAAAATATATATTTTTTTAAATGTTTAAAAATTGAATTATACATTATATATATGTCATCACTACAATAGGATGCAGAAAGTGCTACAAATTGGTAATAAAGTTAGATGCAATAAATTGCTGCTTCTGGCATTTATTTTTGAAAATTAGTCAAACATGTCCATCTTCCATTTCAGTTTACACAGTGAAAAGCAGTTGTAATACTTTGTTTTCATTATGAAGACTTGCCAAAGTGTCTTTTGTGAGGTTCAGAAGGGCAGTCCAGATCATAGGCTCTAGAGCTGAGGCTTCCATTCTGACTACTTATTTGCTGTGTGCCCTTGAGCATATTCCTTCACTTCTTTCTGGTTCCTAACTAAAACAGTCATAACTGTACTTATGCATTTTGTGCTTGCAAACACTGAATGAGTTTAATACATGTAAAGCATTTGACACATAAGCTCTCAAAAAATGTTGGCTCCCGTTGTCCAAATTCAGTCTTTTTTTAAGCTCTTTCATACTTCTTTTTCAAGATAGACTTTTTAAAGAGTAGTTTAAGATCCACTATAAAATTTAGGGGAGGGGGGGCAATTGAGGGGAAAGTATAGATATTTTCTATATAATTATCCCTCCCCACACCCTGACCACCAGGTGCATGCATATCAACATTCAGCCCTAGAGTGATACATTTGTTACAAGCGACTAACATTGACCCATCATTAACACCCAGGTCCATTCCATAGTTTACATTAAGGTTCTCATTGGTATGGTACATCCTATGGGTTTTGATAAGTGTACAATGACATATATCTACCATTATTGGTCATATCATTGCACTGCCCTAAAAATCCTGCGCTTTACCTGTTCCTCTTTGTCCAGCCCCAAATTCTGGCAACTGTTGGTCTTTTCACTATCTCCATAGTTTTGCCTTTTCAGAAGGTCATAGTTACAATTATACAGTAACTTCTTTCACTTAGTAATATGCATCTAAAGTTTTTCCAAGTCTTTTCATGGTTTGATAGCTTAAAAAAAAAGCTGTAAGTAATATTCCCTTGTATAAACGTACCACAGTTTATGAATTTACCCACGGAAGCGCATCATGGTTGCTCCCAAGTTTTGGAGATTATGAATAAAGTTGCTGTAAATATCTGTGTACAGGTTGTTATGTGGACATAACGTTACAGCTCAGCTGTGTAAATAGCAAAAAGTGTGATTGCTGGACTATAGGGTAAGGACATGTTTAATTTCATAACAAACTGCCCAAGTGTCATTCCTGATAGCCTTCGGTTGATGTTTACAACTGATGGTGACCATGTAGTGTGTGTCTTCACACAATTGTTGGATGCACTTATTTCAGCGAAGTCTAACTTTGACACTCCTATACTCCCGGTTCGTAAGGGAAAGCAGAGTACAATAAATCTAGTTTTATAAACAAGCAAAATGAGGTCAGAATCATCAGAGCAGTAACAGGGCTCAGACCACACCACCTTTCCATTTCCAAAGCCTGGGAACCTCTAAAAAACAAAACCCTTGCCTGGGTCTCAAGCGCTTTAAGAGGAGAGCATCTTCCCACACTCAAGATACATTTCCCCAACTAATAATTAGTGACTAATTGCAACCTACAATTGTCCAAATAGGCCCGCAAAGCGTCTACAGCAGAGCCGACCGAATGCGGAAGACCAGACACACACCATGTCAGCTTCTCTTCCGCACTCAGACCCCGCTTCCAAGCGGCTCCCACCGGCGGCTTCCTCCGCTCCGAGCCCCAGAGCATTATTAGCACACGGGGCCTGCGCGCGGAGCCCACCTTTCTGCCAAGCCAGAAGGGCCGCACGGTTGCATAGAAAAATAAATAAATAAATAAAAAATAAAAGAGCTCCATTGCCTCCATTACACCAGCAGCGGCGAGATAATCCGTGTACGGAGTCCTTCCTAGCAAGAGCAGAGGAAGACAACAAGCCGACCCTAGCTAGACCTGGTCTGCAGCCCGAACAAGCCGAGGACCCTTTTTCGCGCAATAAAGAGAGACCCTTTTTCGCGCTCCAACTCGGCCCGGAAGTGACGTGCGCCCGGCTCGCAGGGCCCGCCCGAGGGAAAGGGAGAGCGGGCGGGGGCGTGGGGGCGGGGTGGAGGCCGTAGCTCCGCTTCCGGTGGCTCGCCGCGCTCGCTTACTCCAGCTGTAGCCACTCTTGCCCGTGGCTGCTTCCTCCATCCTGGTATTTTTTGGAGCCTTCATCCTGGTTCTTCCAAAGTGCCCGGACCCAAAACAGGAAGTAAGTGCGATGGAACCTTCAGGTCCCAACCGCCGCCAGGGCCGCTCCGCCCAGCGGAGCCTGTCCGGCCCCCCTCGCTGCCCAGCCCGCTCCGCCGCCGGCCGGCGCCCGCTGCCGGCCCCCCGGGCACCGCGGGCGGGTGCGAGCCGGGCCTCGGGGACGCTGCAGCCGCCGTCCCCGCACGCTCCGGCCGGGGCCTCCCTCTCGGGGCCGGGCCGCTGGCGGCGGCGGCCTCTCGGGCTGCCGAGGAGAGGAGCCAGCAGCCGCCGAGGCACCGCGGAGACCCGGCAGGGGCGGAAAATGGCGGCGGCTTCGGAGGAGCTAAATGGCGCCGGGACCCCTGGGGGTGGGGTGGGGTGGGGTGGGGTGGGGTGGGTGGCCGGGAGCTGCGGGGAGAATTGGGCCCGGGGATGGTACGGAGAACCGGGAAGCCTGACTCTTTTTTTCTGTCTCTTTGTTGCGATGGTTACCTTGGCGTTCGTAGTAGGTGGTTCGGTGAAGAGGGGGTCTCGCCCCCCCCCCCTGATTTTTTTTTCCCCCCCTTTTTCTTTTCTTACCCTATTTGTATCTTCGATGTCTCTTCCCGACCTTTTGGATTCCCTCCCGCTCACCGATTCGTGGATGCCCAGGCCGAGGGGATCGGCTTGCTGGCCCAGCCCGAGTCTCATAGAAAAGGGGAGGCATGGGCTGGGCGCCGGGAGCACAGACCGTCCCGACCGGCCGGGGGACCGTAAAGCGCCTCGGCAAATAGACATTGCCGACCTCTGCCGAGTCCCGAGGAAGCGTGTACATTATTATTTTTTATGCTATGGGTCCTTTAACATGGACTTGGAGTATCATCTCTTCGGGGACATGGAGGGAGTGATTCCAGCCGAGTCTCCGGCGTAGGTGGCAGAGGAGTCCGGGCGCCTCTCGGTGCCGCTGAGGGATACTGTAGCGTGTGTGAGTGTTGATAGTAGACACATTGGATGTAGATAACGAGAGGGTGGGCATTCAATGAAACGAGAGTCAGGACTCTCCTGTCTTTTCCCCGATCGCATCTGGGGATTCACATTCAGTCCCGGCGGTTTTCCTAACTGGATCCATCGCCCCGCGCCGCCTCCGTGTTGTAAGCGTGGAATAAGAAGACCACTGGGATTTTTTTTCTTCTTCTTCTTCCCGTGCGGAATTTTTTTGTCTTTTACTAGTAATTATACCTTAAGTTACTGAGCATACCATTTAAACTGAGCACTTGATGCAAAGCAGCATCAGAAGATCTTTAAAGTTAATACAGCAAATTATCACTGTAGTCTTGATTTCAACTGTTTTTAAGTTCCGGTCCAAGTAAGAACCTCTGTTTCCATTGTGTTGCACATTTTACCAACAAAAATCTATTTTTTTTCTTTTTTCAGTTAAGGATTTCCATATTTTTTTTTTCATTACTTGAGATGCTTTCTTTGAGCTGGTTTTAAATTTGTGTTTCGAAATAACTGTGTATTGCTATTATTATTTTTTTTAGTAGTTTGCATAATTTACCAGCACTTTAATGTTAAAGACCCTGGTGATAATACAACGAAAGCTTAGCTCGTTACTATGATGGTGTAGTAGGGATAAGATTTTGTTACGTTAGGTTAAGATTTGGGAAAACATTAAAGTTATGTTTCTTAATGTTACGGGAATGGTCAGACTGAATGAATGTTTGGAAGAATAAAAACAGGCTGGTGGGAGAATAAACTTTTTCCTTTTTTTTTTTTTTTTCCTGAAAAGACATTACTAGTACTTGTTACGGTTTTTTGGGTAAAGTACATTTCATGTTTTGTGGTGATTTTATCTCATTATTTTATCTCCCATATATACTAGGTGCTTTCATTTGCCACCAAACCCTTTTTTTTTTTTTTACTATTTTAGTTGTTAGGCTAGCCCACGATGTGAGATTTATGACTAATGTAGACCTGCATATTCAGCATGAATCTCTTTAATTGATTGCAGTTGAACTAGATGGTGGAGCCAAAATGCTATTGCCCTGTCTTCATCAACAGTTAAATCAGTAAGTTCTGGGCATTGCATACTTTTTTTTTTTTTTTTTTTTTTTTTAAGATGGAGAAAGGTTACCTTGTTTCACTTCAAGGCAGCAGGAGAGAGAACTATACTACTTAGTATTGAAATAACAGCAAAACTAGTCCTTACCTTCCCATATAATTCTTTTTTTTTTAAATATAGTTTTATTGATTTCAGAGAGGAAGGGAGAGTTAACCACTTTAAAGTTAATACAGCAAATTATCACTATAGTCTTGATTTAACTTTTTTTTTTTTTTTTAAATATATTTTATTGATTTTGTACAGAGAGGAAGGGAGAGAAATAGAGAGTTAGAAACATCGATGAGAGAGAGTCATCGATCAGCTGCCTCTTGCACACCCCGTACTGGGGATATGCCCGCAACCAAGGTACATGCCCTTGACCGGAATCGAACCCGGGTCCCTTCAGTTCCCAAGCCGACGCTCTATCCATTGAGCCAAACCGGTCCCGGCTTGATTTAACTTTTTAAGTTCCGGTCCAAGTAAGAACATATTTTTCCATTGTGTTGCAAATTTTACTATTTCTATTTTTTAAAATATATTTCTTTATTGCTTTCAGAGAGGAAGGGAGAGGGAGAGATAGAACCATCAATGATGAGAGAGAATTATTGGCTGTCTCCTATACGTCCCCCACTGGGGATTGAGCCCAAAACCTGGGGATGTGCCCTTGACTGGAATCGAACTCGGAACCCTTCAGTCCGCAGGCCAACACTATCCACTGAGCCAAACCAGCTAGGACTAATGCTTATCTTTCTGCTCTATTTCTCCAAAGTCTACAGGCCTAATTTTTATTAATGTAATAAATTTTTTCTGAAAACAACATCTTGTTATTTTTTGTCCTGCACCTTTTAATACTTAACACTTGTGAGGATGAATAAGATGATGTGAAATAAGTGTCCTTAGAGATTCACATCCTAGCGCATAAATGTTAAAATATTGAGGGGGTTGGGAGTGTTTTGAAAGTATGTGTTGCAAAGACATCAAATCTTTAGAACAGCAATAAAGTTTAGGAAGAGTTCCACTTTTTTCAATATTCTATAGAGAGGCTGCTTTTTTAACATTGATATAAAATGCTACATCTTGTAATACTATCAAGTAATTCTCTTAAATAATGGTATCGTTTTTAATCGATAATTGAAATCAACATCTTAAGCAAGTAAAGTATATTATAATAAACTCCATTAACATCATTATTGAGTTCTTATGGTGTACAGTCATATTTTGCCATCTTAAAACCAAGCTATAATGAGCATTAATTAGGTACCTTAATTCGGTATGTTTTATGTTCATTTATAGCTCTGCTTCTCAAACTTCCACAATGTATACAGAAGAGCAAATCCCTTGGGGCCCGAGACCATAGCCCAAAGCATTCAACTTCAAGTATCACATGTTGCCTATTCCTAACTTGAATAAAATCAATATTTAAGATTTATTTTGTGGCCTTGTCTTTTTTTTTTTACACCCCTCTATGTAGTTGTGTTCAGGATGTAGGCTTTTATCTGTTCTCTTTCAAAATAAAAATATCTTAAAACACATCTTTTATATTATTAGATAATACTAAGGAAATCCCCTTACAATTCTTAAGGATTCTATAATGATAAAAGCAAGATATGCTAATTAGACCCCACAGCTGAACAACCTTCCAGACAACCTTCCTGATGAAGCTGGGGCCGCCAGGGCCAAGCCCCTTGCACAGATTTTGTGCATGGGACCTCTAGTTTAGTATATGCAAAGATAGGTATGATGGTCAATAGGGAATCTTTATAATGCAAGACCTCAAACAAAATGTTCAGTAATAGGTTAATGGTTAGGTAAATTGAGATGCTATGTATTCATTAAAAAGCTGTGGCAGAGTAAGTAGTAATATTGGAAAATGTTCCTAATGCAAAAAAAGTTACAAAAAATGTGACAATGGGATCTCATTGTAAATTTTTTTAAAAAAAGATATGTTAATACACGAATAAAAGACTTGGGTGATCATTACAAAAGAGAGTAATTTTCTGCCAATATATTGGGTCAGAAAAACATCTGAAAATTAAACATATCCTTACTGTTTTACTAGTATATGCCCAAAACTGTGTCTTAGCTAGTGGTTTTTAATTCTTACCTCATCCAGTAAAATTCTGGTGCTATACTTGTATATTCTGCAGCTTGCTTGATTTCCCCTTATAAAAGTATCTTATAATGAATTTTTTTCACACTATGTGGCCTTATCCCATTTTTCAAAGTAGGATAAATTCCAAGCACCTAGAGTTAGTAAAATTTCTGTGCTGCTCATGATCTTCACTAATAGAATCTACCCTTGTACTTGTACTGTGCTTGGGAACTGATTGATACAAATGTATCTACAGAACTAATCCTAAAAGTAGGAAGAAATGTCACTTGGTTCTAGTTTTTAGAAGATACATGTCACTTAATTGCCTAGATTTACAGTGTTCCCTAACTTTTGACACTGTATCCCTTCTATAATTTTCCTAACGCAGCTAAGCACAGTGCAGTGCATATCCCCACCAAACTCCGGTACAACGCGTACCCCCACCAAACTCTTCCCGTACCCCTGGGGATACGCGTACCACACTTTGGAAAACACTGGCCTAGAACCGTGGTCGGCAAACTGTGGCTTGCGAGCCACATGTGGCTCTGGCCCCTTGAATGTGGCTCTTTTACAAAATACCACAGCCTGGGCGAGTCTATTTTGAAGAAGTGGCATTAGAAGAAGTTTAAGTTTAAAAAATTTGGCTCTCAAAATAAATTTCAATCATACTGTTGATATTTGGCTCTGTTGACTAATGAGTTTGCTGACCACTGGCCTAGAAAATTGTAACAATATAGGTGGAGATACATAAAATAATCCATTGAATAAAAGTTTTACATCAATACTGTAATAGAGTAGGATGAAGGATTCATTTCTTTAATTCTGTGTTCACATATTCAAGAGTTCTTTTTCTACAGTAGGTAGTGTCACCATGTTCATTGGACATTATAAATAAAAATTGTATTTCTCCTTTAAATGTGAATATATGTAAATACTCCATTGTAAATGTTTTGTACCATATTTCATTGGGGTAATTTTTTTCTGTTTAATATAACCACAGAACGATAGAAACATGACTACCATTTCACCAGTTAAAAGTCTATTACCTTTTTCTCACTTATTTCTAGTTAGTGTAAAAATAGTACATGTGGTATAACTATAACTCAGTGACAGAGACAGGAAGATCTAAATGAACTGGTGGTGTGTACTTATTTGCCCCAAAGAGAACCAAAATTTTACAGATTTGGAGATCTTCCTGACATATTTCTCTGATAAATCAAATGGGTAACAGTCCAGTTTCGTGTATAATTAGAATACAACACATGAAAATATTCAACTTTGTATCTTACTATCTTTAAGTCAGTTTATTCACCCAACATTTCTCAGTCACTGGTCGTCTATGCACTTCTAAATAACATCTGTCTTGACACTATGGAAGCTAGTATTCTCTTTGCCTCCTTAGCTTGAAAGCTAAACCCCAACCGCGTAAAAGACCTGTTTGTATTGACTTCCCTACTTCCAATTCTCTGTGTATTCCAGTATGGCTTCTGTCCCCGCTACCCTGAAACTGCTTCCCTTAAGGTCACCAATGTTCTTCATATTGCCCAATCAGATAGTCATCCTCAAAGCAGTCCTATTTAACACAGTTGACCACTTGAAAACACTGAGGGCCTCTTAGTTAGCACCTGTTAGTTTTTTAGTTTTCATTTTAAGAATTTTGTTGATTTTTAGAGAGGGAAGGGATAGGGGGAAACATGGTTGTGTGAGAGCAGCTGCCTCCTATGCCCCCAATCTTGATACCCGGACATGTGCCCTCAATGTGAATCAAATCAACAACCTTTTGGTTCCTTGGACGTCACCCAACCAACTGAGACACCTTGACCAGGGCATCACACCTGTTAGTTTTCATCCTATACTACTTGTTGGTCCTTTTCCAACTCCTTTGTTTATGTATCGCTTAACTTCCAACTGTTAGAATAGGGGTGTCGAACTCAATCAGAGAAGGGGCCAAAATCTAAAATCCAGCCTAAATCGCGGGCCGAATGGTTTACTGAACAGTCATAAACTGTCATTGTGATGGAAACGCAGCGGAGTGCAGTGATGACAGCGTGGTGTGGGCCACATTGCAAGGCCTGGCGGGACGGATTTGGCCCGCGGGCCTTGTGTTTGACACGTGTGTTAGAATGTTCCAGGACTGGGAGCTAGACTGTCTAATCTCCCTAGGTGATCTTTAAAACAATTTGGATTCCTCTAACTCACATTTATAGGTCTAATTCACACCTGTTGAATTTCAGCTTCCAACTATCAACTTGACATCTTCATTTGGATGCCTCATATCTTTAACACAAACAGTAATAAAAATATTTAATGAAATATATTCTTAGTGTCTCCAAATGCACTCAGCTGTTTAAGCCAAAAGCCTGAGAATCTTCTTTTTTTTAAATCCTTTACTGTTGAAACTATTAATAGCTCCCATCATTTTTATCTTCATTCATCAAATTCTATCAACACTGCTTCCAAATTATATCTTCTGTCTAACCTTCTTTCTTATTTCTGCCAAATCAAGTCCCACCTTAAGAACTTTGCTATTATTAGTTGGCTGGCTTGTAGTCACATACTTGCAAGTGAAGTCTCTTCAAGTAATGTAACTTCTCCACATCAACCTGCCATAGCGTAAAACTGTGAGCATCTGTGCATTATCTCTATTTTGTGCATCCATTAGCAAGATGTATCCCAGGGTGTTCAAAAGCCCAAGAGCTGGTTAGGCTGTTTGACACTTAGTATAAAACTGGACATTCTTAAGTGCAGAAGCATACATTGGAGGTATTGCAGATTTAGTTTCAGACCTCTGCAGCACAGCAAGTCACACATTTTATTTTCCCAGAGTATACTGTAAAGGTTATGTTTATATTACAGTATACTGCAAAAAGTATGCACCAATCAAATTGCTCAGCATAGTTGCTACAGACCTTAAGTTGCTTGAAAAAAAAAAAAAATGCCTGCAAAGCACAATAAAATAAAGTATGCCTGTATCTGGTATGATTTGGTAGATTATTTTTTGGGTCTGGGAAAGCTCAAAAATGTTTTCCTGTAAATTAATGGAAGGTAATTGGTATGCTTTAACCATTTCACCTTACTAAAGGTTTCATGGGAATCCTCTACTTTCCAATACTCCTTTTTTCTTGTGCTACTTTCTCACCATGTCTTTATTTTGTTGTTTTATTTTTTCCCTAAGCTTTAGATTAACTTGGGTCCCAAGATGACTTTCATTAAATGCTCAGCCAATAACCATTTTGTACCTATCAAATGAGCAGTTGTGTTCTTTTTGCTTTGTAGTTCCTTTTTAAATAAAAATACTGCCAAGGTTACCAGGAATAGAGTTTACATCTCAAAGATTGGAATATAAATTTGCAACCTTTCTGGAAAATAGATTGTAAGGTGATTTAGGTGTTCATTTCTTTCTTTTTTTTTTTTTTTACTTAATAACTTTCACTAATTACTATTTAAGGAAATAGAGTATAAAATAAATGTTTTAGTATGTTTTAATGAAGTGAAAAATTGGGAACATCATAAAAGTCCAGTGATAGGGTAATTATTAAATATATTTTTTTATCCAGTAAAAGTTTTAAATGATACAGGTAGCTTCAGTTAAATACTTAACCATGGTTTCCTTCACTTTTCAATATGAATGAACTCCAAGTAGCAGGATATAAAATTGCTTATCCCCTACAGTCTTGTCTCTCACACCCACACACCAAAGACACTAAATTCTGGTTTTGGTAAGTTTATAGATATTAGCTTTTAAAAACATTTCTATTTTTCCATCTTCTACAGTAGGTATTACTTGCAAACCAGCTTTAAAAAACATTTAATGGGTTCAGAAATAAGGACAGCATGAAATATAATAGCTGACTGAAGATTTCCCTAGCAGGATCTGTACCTTTTTCACTGCTTTATTTATGTATAGCAGTTCTCATATATAACTATCCCCCTTAAACCTCAACACCTGCTGTGCTTTTTTGAACTTTTGGTTGACCCTTTGGGATAAAGATGAGAAGCCTATTGAAAGAAACCTTTAAAAACCAATCATTTCCCTAACTTCTCTGTTAGCTGTCTGCTCCATAGCTTCTGTTAATTAGGTCCAGAGGGCCACTCGTCACAGGCTCTGTGACATGTCAGTGATGGCTGAGTGGCAGAGAAAACAGAAGTGGACTATGGATCTGAGAAACACCATGTGGAGTAATGATTCCACGTTTGACCAGAGCATGCTAAAAAAGATGATGTGGCCCAAAGGAAAGAGTTTAGGGTATCAAGAGTAAGGAGCCACAGGTCATATTAAAGTTCAAGTCAAAAATAACCACCTGGATTGCCATCAGGATGATTTTAACCAGCTTCTGGCTGAACTGAACACTTGCCATGGACTGGAAACAGCATGGTGATTCCTCCTCAGACAACAAGGAAAAGAAATCTTTCACCCTTGAAGAAAAATCCAGAATCTCCAAAAACCCACATTCATTATAAGAAATTCACAAAAGGGAAGGATCTGTCATCTTAAAGCAAAACAGATCTTGACTGCATTTTTGGGAAAAGAGTAAGAAGATTCCTGAGGATGATTCCAGTTCTGCTGCTCCAGATGGGAATGAAACCTCCACTATGACAAGTGCCTTCACCATCCAGGAGTGCTTTGCCAAGCAGCTGGCAGAGCTAAAGAACAAGTTACAGGTCATGGCTGCAGGGCATTATGTTCCAGAGACCAAAGGGGAAAGGAAAGAAAAGGCAAAAGATAAATGTGGAAAATTATACCCAACTCAGAACTAAAAAAAAAAAAAAGGCCAAATTGAGCAGCAGCAGAGACCATTATTGGGATGGGAATTATGACACTTCTGCTGAGATGGAGAGGGTTATGTGTGCCACTTAATGACCAGGACTTACCTCCAAAGCCCAAAAAAGAGAAGGAAAAGTGACAAAAGCAAGTGGAGGCAGCAGTGAAGCACTAGATAAGGCACCTGTGAAAAAGAAGAAGGGCCCCAAGTAAATAACCTTGGGCCTTCCAGCCACTCAGACTTCAGGGTGCTGCCAAGCACACATCTTGGCGTAACGTCAGCGCAGGATTCACCCCAGAGAGTTGGTGCACATCTTTTAACCTGCCCATGGGCTGCTGGGTCTCACCCTCTCACCACATTTTCCCCAAATCATATTCCCAGAAGAACTTCCAAATGTTCTAAGTCATGGCTGTCTTAAATGTCTTTGTAGACTCTGGAAAAAAAGTTTAAAAATTATTTCAGGTTTTGTAAGTTTCATATTGCCTTCAAAAGCTTGCTTGAAATTTACCTTTTCCAGCCTGATTATTTGGGATTCTCCCCCCTCTCCCCCACCCACCCATACACGGATCCCTTGAAAGGATTGTTCACAGATATGTATTTTTAATGCTTCAAGATGAAACAGGTATTAGGGAAAGAGTGGAATTAGTTACTATTTTTTTTAATTTCTATAAGAGTTTATTTGAGCCAAAATTATAACGTATGCTGGGAGCGAGATCTCAAATGCTCCCTGGTGGTAATTGTTATAAAGAAAAGATACTGGTCAGATTTAGGGTACTGAATTAGTTGAGGTTCATCATGGGTCATGTTATATATACCTAGTCTATAATTCATAGAAGCACTAACATCTCCAGCTGTTTTTTCCAAGAATGTTTGACTGCCTGTTGAGGGACAAATGGATTGAGAGACTGCCTTTGAATTAACTCAGTGGGCATCAGAAACTCATCATTTCTGCCCTTCACTCGGAATACTTTTTAGAGGCTGGTTTCCTAAAGGTCTGAGAATTCTGGTTTTGTCATTTTTCTAGTTGACGTGACACAGGAGGCTAGAGTGTCTTCAGCATACTGCTAGCACACAAGTGTAGTTACAAGACTTACTGTGTAATGCTGTTATTTTTTCAGTGTTGCAGCTATAGAATCATGGGGGGAAAACAATCTGGATAACATGAAAGTGATGCTGGTGGCTACGGGAAGGCGACTAGATTCTGTGGGAAGGGATACAGCTGATTCACCTGTTTTCTAGGTAAGCCTGCCTTGTTCCACGGACCTCACTTAATAACTGCAAATTTTAATCATACTAGATCATGATTCCCACTTATCTTTAATTTGGGAATGGTATCTTTACCATTGTAAAATGAATGATGTCCTTTTAAAATAGCAATTTGTATAATGAAACTTTAGTGAGTCTCTCTGGGTCTTCACCATGTAAAATTTTAGTAGATCCTAAGTTGTTCTGCCGGGGGAAGTGCATATGTGTAAATGGTAAATATATGAACACACTAATATCTTGTGTGTAAAAGCCAAATAATATGTGAATAATTTAATATACACCAAGGCTTATGTCCCCTTTCTTATGATAATTGGTAAAAAGTACATGGACGAGACCAAAATTGAGTATTGAGGCAAGAACTTCATTGAACATTATAAGGTATGCCTGAAGAGTTCAATCAGCCTGTCTATAATAATAAAAGCGTAATATGCTAATTAGCCTGGATGACCTTCAGGATGATACTGGAGCTGTGAGGGAAGCTGGGTTCTGGATGCCAGTGGGAAGCCGATGCCGGCAGCTGGGGGAAGGAAGGCCTATTCTTAGACGAATTTCATGCATCAGGCCTCTAGTTAATTATAATTCAATAGATTTTCCCCTATTAACCATGAATACTATATTCTAAGGTTGATCAGTCTGTCAGAACAAAAGAAGAATATTATATGTGTAAAATATCAGTTTAAACAAAAACGGTTCTCTATTTCAGAAGAAGGTATTGCTTGATCTCTATTAGAAAAACAATTTTATCAATGATGGATGTATGCACTTGTTTAATATTAATGAAAAAAACTTTAAAAGAACTACTTAGTGTTTTTGTCAGATAATAGAGCTTAATACATGTAAAAATGTTTTGGAGAAGTAATTCTTAGATTAAGACAAAAGCTTTAATGAATTTTCTACTAAAGAATCAAAAGTTAAATACATTTAAATAAATCACAAAGCTGCCAATAAAATAATTAAAAAGCGGTGAGACTTGCTGACATGATGACTTTCATTGCATGTGGTAAAATACATTTCTTTAAAAAGTGAAAACTGTAGGTTTTTAATCATAGCAGTCAATTCTTACAGATTGTTATATCTAATTTTACTTTTTAATTGATTATTTTGGAGAGAGAAGAGGGAAGAGAGAGAGAAACATCAATATGAGAGTGCAACATTGATTGGCTGCCTCCTGCATACCACCTATTGAGAATTGGGGATCGACCCTGCAACCCAGGCATGTTGAATACCAGGAATTGAACCCGTTACCTTTCAGTGCTCAGGGCAACGCCCAGCCAGCTGAACCACACCAGCCAGAGCTATATCTAATTCTAAATAATGGTTATAAACTTTTGAAGAACAGTGTTTAAAATCTGAATTGGCATCGCAGTTTCACACAGAAGAACGCTGTAGGCAGATACGCATTGTGGGGGTTTTGCAGGAGGAGGTAGGAAAATTAGAGGGCTACTTTAAGTTCATATTTGGAAATAATTTTCTAATCCTAATCTAAAATATGTTCTTGCACAGATTTGAGTATGAGCACAGTTGAAGAGGATTCTGACACAGTAACAGTAGAAACTGTGAACTCTGTAACTTTGACTCGGGACACAGACGGGACCCTCATTCTTCATTGCCCTCAGAATGGTAGGAGAACCTATAGGCATAATTGTGAATCTTTTTGGATTTCCCGATTTTATGTCACCTTTGATCTCTATTATCCATCTGGACGGTTTAGGCCAGGACTGTAGGAAAGGTTATCTCTTTGGTTCATGAATTAATCTTAATTTTTATATTTAAAAAATATCCCTTGGTATATTTTCTAATTTACCTTAAATTTTCTAATTAACCTTTGATGAATAGCTGTTTTATTAATAAAATCTGTTGAGCATCCTAAGATAATGATCAATTAACTATACACAATATACTTCCTCACCAGAGTATATGTAGTACATTAGAATATATAGATATAGTCATGCCAATACAAATAAATGAACATTTTTTGCTAGAACCTGTGTTAGAGAATTTTATGTAACTGAGTAAGATTTACTGTGATCAAGATTCAACACTCTTGGGGTTTGTGATTTTTCTCAACCTATTTCTTGTGTACAATTTATTGTTTCTTTTGCTTTAAGTTCATCTTTGCTCAACCTAAGTTTTGTCTTCTCTTTTCACTCCATACTTAATCTCCAGGTTATTTCATTCAAACTTGCTGTTTTAACTACCCTCTACGTATTAAAATGATTCAAACTTCTGACTTTATTATGAATTCTCCATTTCTCAGAGGCACCTTTAATGTCACATGTCTCAAACTGAATTATTTCACAGAATCCCCCAACCTAGTTTTTACTTTCTCATTCAATTCCACTTGTTTTAGTATCCTAGATAATATAACCAGATAGGAATAATCCTCTCATCTCCCACATTCATTCTATTACGAAGATTTATTGATAAAATTGTTTCTTGAATCTATTCCCTTCTCTCTTCTCAAGTTCTCCTTTCTTGTTTCAGTTTCTCACCTGGGTGGCTCTAACAGCCCTTAACCAGTTCCCCACCTCTATTTCATCTTTTAAACTACAAAGACATTGGTCAGGATACCCACCAGCATACGAAGGTGTTTAAAGGTGCCGTGGTTTTTAGAATGTAATCCGGTTCTTTAATTTGGCACATAGCCTCCCAACGTCGCATCTTTCCTTTCAGACTCACTTTCACCACATTTCACTTAGCCATGTTCCAGCAGTTAATGACTGTTTTTACTTTCCTAATATACCTCAAGCTCCTTATGCCTCAGTGTCACTGCTTACATTACTCCTACTGCCAATAATACTCATTTTCCTTTGGCTCTGTTCAAGTTAGAAACATCTTCTCCAGGAAACCTCCCTCCACTTCTAGTCCAAATTAAATGCCTCTCCTCTTTGCTCCTATTAGCCGTTTCATAGCTCTTATTACACTATTTTGAAATTGTTAGTTTAGTCATCTCCTCCACACTGGGTGCTCCTTGACAGTCACAGTGTCTCTCTCATTGTTCTTTTCCAAGCACTTAACACCTAGAAGGCACTCAGTATTTGTGAGTGAATTGACTTTGCATGTGAAATACTTGGAAAGCCAGATTGTTGACAGCACAAAATTGTCACCTTAAAAAAGCGGCACCTTTGTCATAGTTCCCCTTGCCATAAGAATAAAAGCTTAGGTGCTGCAGTAGAAACTGAGAAAGCAGTATTGTTTGGAGTCCCACTTAAACAACTTGGCTTAGTTAACTGAGCAAATCAGGAAGAAGATTGTTTTACAGTCATTACTTGAAGAGATTTTGTTTACCTCATTGTTTTGAACGTTTTGAGATTTTTGTTTTGTTTTGTTTCATCAGAAGCTGATGAAATAGACTCAGAAGATAGTACTGAACCTCTGCATAAAAGGCTTTGTCTGTCTTCTGAGGATGATCAGAGTATTGATGATTCTGCTCCTTGCATATCAGTTGTTGCACTTCCACGTAAGTCACTGTTTAAAAGCAGAGTTTCCTTTTAAAATTAAAATTTAGGTTGCAAGATTATTTTTCTCTTCATTTCATCATAAACCCTCTTTTTAATTAATACATAATAAGTGCTTAGATATGTGCCACAAGTGATTATAAATGCTTTTACATATATTGTCTAATTTAATCTTTTATTATTATTATTATTATTGCCCCCTCACTGCCACCGCTACCAGGAGCCTTTTTAAACATTTTTTTCCCCTGATCACGCTTTCCCCCAGGAACTTTTTTAAATGTGCTGTCTTGCTTTGTTAATAAAGAGAATAACATTTTTTTTCATGCACAACACTCATGAAGCACGCTTGCCCAACTCAATGAGAAAGCATGCTCTAGACTAGAGTAAGGATTATTATTATCTCTATTTTATAGTTGACAAAACTAAAGCACAGGTATGATAACTTGTCAATGATCATATCCAGCCATTTCTGGTTCTTATAATTTATACTCTTAATCCCAATGCTGTACTGCCTCTTCATATGGTAAATAGCTAACTGGAAGTTATATAGGAGTCTGATTAGTTTTTCTCACTAAAGTTTTAACATGTTTAAATTTCAAGATCATTTAGAGTATACTGGATTCTAAGGAGCTATCATATTTCTGGTATTGTTGGCAAAAGACTACAACACAACAACTGTAATGTTAGATTATATTTCTAACGTGTTTAGCAAAAAATAGGGAATCTTGTTGAACTGTGGTGTCCCCAGAAAGGTCAAATAGGTTTCTTAGTCCATGCTGATGGGGTTGGGATACAAGGCTCTTGTACATAAAGGAGAGTCTTGCCATATCTCAGAACTTTCCTTTTGCACTCACATCAAGCAAAATCACATCTTTATCCAGTGGGTTTTCATTGTGGAAAATTATGTTTTCACAAGTAGGTAAATACTCTGTATTTCGAGTTTAATGGCTTGTTAAATTTACAGAAAAGAAATCCTTTTATGTTAGTTTGCTGTGAAACTTTATAAATACAGCATTAATGTTCATGTTGCTAATATTGCTTCCAGTTGTGACTGTACAAATACAATCTATTTATAATTAAATTAAATGACCTAATTAAGTGATCTTTCCTCCTAATGATGATTCATATGATATTTCAAAACTCCTAATTTGACTGTCATTATGTTGTGATTCCACTTTAAAACTTGATTAACCTATCTGTATTACAGACAAAATTCTATATGGATATTTTCTAAGCTACAGGTTATTTTTATTCAGCTATAATTGATATTACATTATATTAGTTATAACTGTACAACATAATGCTTTGGTATATTTATATATTCTGAAATAATCACAGTAAGATTAGTTAACATCTATCACCAAATATAGTTACAGAATTTTTTTCTTGTAGTGAGAGCTTTTAAGATCTGCTCTCTTTAACAACTTTCAAATATATATTATATTATTATTAACTGATTAATTCATTAGCGTGCCTTTATCATAATTGTAGGTTCAAACTATACATGATATTTTGTTCTATTTTATGGTGCTTGTCTGAATTGAACGTTATAAAATACATGAGCTACTTGATATTGGATCATAGCATATCATGTACGCAGGGGATTCTGAAGGCTAGTATTTACAATAAGACTGAATTCATGAAAAGCAGGCTTGAAGTATTTACATGTTTTCTGCATTTGTAAAAAGTATGTTGATAAATCAACTTAGGAAAATTTCTATATTTAAAAAAAATTCACAAAAAAGCATAAAGTCCCATATATCTAGGACTGATTGAATGAGCAAGTCATTTGCTGGACTTAGTGGAGGCGAATATTAATTTTTAAAGATTTAACTTAAAATTTAATTTTAAAATTCATATTTTTACATGTTTTATAAAACTGATAAAATTTATCTTCTAAGACTTAAAATCCTCTTAACTTTCATAGTAATCAATCTAGACCACTAATTGACCACTTGTTTTTGCAATCATCTACCACCACATTGACTCCAGTCCCTATTCATAGTTATAGCTCTTGGTGATTACTCATTCAGATAAGTGCAGTATCTTGGCCTCCAATTCTTTTTGTTCTTCACATTGCCTTATCTCTACCATTACCACTTTTGTTACTACCTATTAACTAGAGTCCATCTGTTTTCTGTTTCAGATTTTGTTTTGCTACCACTGCTTCCTATGTTTCCAACTTACTTTCTCTAATTCTCTTAAACTTCTATGATCCTTTGCCTCACTGGCACCCATTAATCTTACCACTCTTCTTTGTTCCTTCTCCACTTTGTATCCTGTTTCCTCCTTACCCAATTTCATTTTCATGATTAGTCATTGTAATCACTGTCTTGAATTGCCGTCAGGTCTTTTTTTCCTTCCTTCACTTATTCTTTGGTGAAACCACAACCTTGGTTAAATTCATCTGCCCACTTATGTCTATACCTGATGGGAGAAAAACAGCTCAGGCAAACTGACTGGTCCCACTTGAAACTGATCATCATTATCTTGAAAGTGGGCTCATGACGTTGCCTGCCAGCCACATCATACATACTTCACTATAATTTTCTTTATCCCAGTCTGACATGACTGTTTCTTATATCTCAAAACCTCTAATACTTTCTCCATCTTCTTTAATCTCAACTGATAATCTTGCTTACTACTTTACTGAGAAAATTGAAGTAGCTATAAGTTTTCATTTCCACAAATACACACATATAAGTACCTATGTCCATATTTTCTATTTTTTCTCTTAGCTAAGGCCAGCCAACTCTTCATTTTATTAGATTCTATCCCTTTGCCTACTCACCGACATTGTTACAACAATTCTTGATGTTCTCTCTTGAAACATCAATTTTTTTCTTCTCTAACATTGTTCATTTTAGCATTGTAAACATATTATAATTATTTAAAAAATCCCATTAGCCCTCTTCTGGCTCCCATCCAGTTTCTCTCCTTCCCTTAAGAGAAAAATACCTTGAAATAATTGCCTCCATTTCTTCTTCCATTCTTCCTTCAGTCAGGCTTTTACCTGTCTTGCTTCACCAAAACTGTTCTTCCTAGGTCTCCAGAAACCTCCTTTTACTAAATCCAATGATAATCTTTTTTTTTTCTTTCTTCCAGTCTTTGTCTTGCTTGATCTATGCACAGTTTTTGATAATATTTATCACTCCCTCTTCCCCTGCTTAACATTTTGTCACATGGGTCCCAGGGAACACATTTCTCTAGTTTTCCTCTAAATTGCTGTCCAAGTTCTTCTCAGTCTCCTATGCTGACTTGTCCACATCTCTCAAATCTCTAAATGTGGCCTGCCCCAGGACTGAGTCCTTAGACTGCTTCTGTTTCCTGTTTTCATCCCTAAAACTGATGATTTTAAATTCTGTCTCTTGTGTTGTCTCCCAGATTTATTCGAGACTTCTCCTTTTAACTCTAAATGTTTAGTAGGTATCTCAAACTAATATGTTTAAAACTCAGTTCCTGAAACTTCATAAATTTTGAAATTTGCTTCTACAATCTTCCCCATCTCATTTTTGGCAGGTACATTTTTTTCATTTGCTGAGATTAAAAAAAAAAACACACAAAAAACCCACATGTAATATCATCTTTGACTTTTCTCTCATGTTTGGTTTATCCGCAAATTCTATTGGCTCCACCATCAAAATACCCACAATTTGAACTACAATCACCCTTACTTGATTTCACCCTGGTCCAAGCCACTGGCCTTTTATCATGATTATTGAATTAGCTTGCTGCCCTTTAGGCTATTTTCCCTATAACAGTCAGGGGGATCATTTATATATAAAAGCCTAAGCAACTGGCCAACCATCCAACCATCCGAACAGTAGCTATGATGCATAATAACCATCAGGGGACAGGTGCTCAACGCAGGAGCTGCCGAGCGTCTCGGCAGCTGCGGTTCTTGAGGAGGGAGCCCGATTCTGGGGTGCATCACCCGAGAACCGCCCTCTCATAATCCAGGACCCTTGGGGAAAAGAGAGCCAGTTTCGGCCCAATCCCCACAGGCCAGGCCAAGGGATTTCTCTGGTGCACGAATCTGTGCACTGGGCCTCCAGTATTACAATACAAGATTATATCATTCCTCTAGGTCTTCCATTGGTTTCCTATCAGAGATTTAAAGCAAGTCTTTATAGCAGCCTACAAGTTACCACACATATCTTACTGTTCTTGTTCAATCTGCTTTGGCCATACTGCCCTCCTTGCTACTCCTGGGAAAATTCAGACATCTCCCCATCTCAGAGCTTTTGCACTCGGCTTTCTTGCTGCCTGAAATGCACTTTCTCTTTCTCAAGACACCTAAGTAACTAGTTCCCTTCCTTACTTTGTTCCAAGTCTTAGTTACTTTTCCTGGCCTCCTATCTAAAATTTCAAATACCCTTCCTCACTTCCAATACATTCCCTTTCCTACATTATGTTTTTTTTTTTATTACTTACCATCATCCAATATAATATCGTGTTTGTGTTTAACAATATAATATCATTTTGTGTTTAACCCACTAGAATATAAGCACCATAAAAGCCAGATTTTGGTCACTGCTATCTCCAATAACAGCGATACCCACTGTGGTACTAGATGCACAATAAATATTGATTAAATGCATAGATATAAAAATATACATATATTTATATATATGAGCAAGGAATGTGATGTTCCCATTTTTTCCATGGATGTTTAAATTAGATGTTCCCATTTTTTCCATGGATGTTTAAAAACTAATTAGGCCCTGCCATTGCTATTCTAGAATTGAATTATTCCTTTCCTTGAAGTTTCAGAAAATGATCAGAGCTTTGAGGTGACCATGACTGCAACCACAGAGGTGGCAGATGATGAGATTACTGAGGGAACTGTGACACAGATTCAGGTATAGTAAGTCTTTTTTTACTTTTTTATAATTGATATGAGAGAGAGAGAGAGAAATAAACACTGATTTGTTGTTTCACTTATTTATGCATTCATTGGTTGATTCTTGTATGTGTCCTAACCCGGGATCAAACCTACAATCTTGGTGTATCAGGATGACACTAACCAACTGAGCAACCCAGCCAGGGCCGACTCTTTTTATTGGCTACAAGAGGATCATCCTTTACACATACCTTAGGTGGAAATATTGTGAACATATTTTGTCTGACAAAGTAGCAACCACAAAATTGAGGGTAAGATTCATTACTTCATTCAGATTTCCAAGCCTCTACATATATGTGAATCTCAGAATTGTAAGCAAAGGTAAAATTTTAAAATTCATTCCCTGTAGAGTGATTCACATCTATTGAAATAGGTGATGCTTGTACATTCTTATCTACATGGAGTGATCTCACTTGATCTGTTAAATAACTTTAAATTTTATCTTATAGAAGGTATTAATTGGGATATAAAAGCTTTTTGAGGTAGTTTTACCCAGCAGTTAACTGAAGTGACTGATTTAGAATGGCTGCATATGATCTCTCTTCTGTGTCAGTGGAAACTAGTCATTACGGATAGGTTTTAGTTAGGGTAGTTATAGTTATGGTAGTTCCTTTTGGTGCTTGTAGGATTGAATACATTTTACCATGTGTTTGGAAGTTGGATTTTAATCCGTCTTATTGTTTTCCTCTTAATGTGAACTTCTCTGTCTCATAAGTTATTTCTCCCAAAAGTAATCAGAATTCTCTGCTTTCTTAGCCTAAAACTTAAATCTATTTTACTTATAAATTTATCCCTGGCCTTTCTTTTTAGTAGCTTGTCCTTTTGTTTCTTCATTTAATAAAATATTTTGAAGTAGTAGACAGTAGAGACATTATACCATTATTTTTCTAATGTGGAGCATCTCAGTGACCTTTGTTAAGTTAAGTATAAGAGTTGTAAATTGATAGGTAACATCAAGGACTAAGGACATCTAATGTTAGGTGCACTGTGAACCTTTTGCAATAGAGTGCTTCAAAGTGGTTCCGCAACAATAGGATTTCCAGAAGCATGCATCTGAGAAGTGCTTAAATGGCTTTGAGATAGGCTGCAGTTCCTCATAATTTGCCCTCGGGTATCAACTGGTGATTTGGACAGGAATTTTTTCCAAGCTTTCTGAAGCAATAGAGCACATCCTTTCTTCAAAATGGGGCTTGTCAAATTCATTTCAGGTTCAGAACAAAATAGATCACAAACGAAAGACTAGGTAGTCTTCACTTCCATTCTGTTTTCAATGCAGTAAAAATAATTATACATACGTATAATTTTGTTTACAACATAGCTAGAAGATTGAGCAGTGGCAATGTTAGTAGTCAAGTTATAGGGTTGTTTTGTTTGCATTATTTCCAAAGAGTTAATGAGTTATTTAATATTAGCGTCTTGGTTTGTTATTACCATTTTAGTGAATGAAAAGCTTTTAATAATTTCTAATATATGTTTAATAAGATTAACATTAGCTGCTAGTGAAAATCAGCATAGTTAAAAGTTTCAGCAATAATGTGATCTTCAGATTACAAGACGCCTTAGACACCATCTGTCTAGTCTCTGTTCTCAGCTTTACAAAGGTCTCTTGATCTTTAAAAGAAAAAAGTCTAAAATGTATGCTACATAGAGTTGTAAAATTTTTCATACTTGACCAGTGATTATTTTTCTTTTTGCCCAGGGATTTTTAAAAAACTGCTTTTATGAATATAATATATTAATAACCAAACATAAAAAAAAAGTAACAATAAAGGTGTGGCTTTTCCCCATATTGTGTTTTGGTGGTTCAATGACAGCTTCTCTCTTACCACTTGAGATGGGTTTTGTTTCCTGTGGAAGTTAGAAATTCATTTTTTTGTTTATTGAAGAAATAGTTCGGTCTTTGTTAGGACTTACCTCCAGCCAGTGACATAGTTTAGTAGTTGATCCAATCCAGAGACTGCACAAGGTTGAGTGATCACTAGACAGCTAATTCTCCCCTTATTTTAGTCTGCCTGTGATAATGTCAAACCTCATGTAGCAGAACTGTTGTCAGATTTTCCTCACACTAAAGCTCTCTTTAGCTCAAGGCCAGTTCTTAAAAGTGGCTTTGTTCCTGCAGATATTGCTAGATTAAGTATGTATGTCATTGAAAATATGCCCAGTGATAATTGCATAAATATAATAAAAGCCACTGAATTATATTTTTTAAAGGGTGAATTTTATGGTGTGTGAATTATTTTTTGACCATGTTTCTCAATAAAGACTGTTTTAGCTGCGATAATAGTAAAAAGTAGTATCATACAATTCTTTGAGGAGAAGGGGTACATTTATGAAGGTAGGAGTTATGACACGCTAGATGTTGGCTACCATAAAGTAGTCAGTGAACAGTAAGCAGACCATAATTTTGTAAAATGTCTTTTGATTTAGCCTGTTAATCCTTTAAATTTAACAGATTACATTACAGATGACTAAATATTTAGATAGCAAACTACCTGTGAGGACATTAAAAATCATAACTCAACCCCAGCATTTCCATTTTGTTGTATGTATGAACTAACTTAAATATATAAATATACAAATGTATATTTTTACCTTTTCAAGATTCTACAGAATGAGCAACTAGATGAAATATCTTCCTTGGGTAACGAGGAAGTTTCAGCAGTTAGCCAAGCATGGTTTACAACTAAAGAAGATAAGGATTCTCTGACTAACAAAGGTAAAATATACTATGAATTTTAGTGTCCACTGGAAAAAATTGAGAACTTATAATCATTAGGATTCTGAGTTGGACCTTCAAAATTGTGATTAAGCCATTACAATAATTGAGCATTTCTTTTTATTTATTTATTTTTATTCAATTTATTGGGGAGACATTGGTTAATAAGATCATATAGTTTTCAGGTCTACATTTCTGTGATATGTGATCTGTATATTGTACTGTGTGCCCACCACGCACAGTCAGATTGTTCTTCATCACCATGTATTTCTCCCTTTACTCCACCCCAATCCTTTCCCTCTGGTAACCATCATACTGTTGTCTATGGCTATGAGGTTCAGTTTTATATTCTACATATGAGTGAAATCTTATGGTTCTTAATCTTTTCTGACTGGCTTATTTCTAATTGAATTAAACTTGAACTTTCCTCATTGAATTAAATTTGGCTCTGAATGAGCTAATGAAACCATTTTTCAATAATTGATCATTTTTTCTTATTTTTTTTTTTTTTTTTTTTTTTTTTTTAAATATATTTTATTGATTTTGTACAGAGAGGAAGGGAGAGAGATAGAGAGCTAGAAACATCGGTGAGAGAGAGTCATCGATCAGCTGCCTCTTGCACACCCCCTACTGGGGATACACCCGCAGCCAAGGTACATGCCCTTGACCGGAATCGAACCCGGGTCCCTCAGTCCCCAAGCCGACGCTCCATCCATTGAGCCAAACCGGTCTCGGCGATCATTTTTTCTTAAATGAAGTAGATATTGTCTTGTTAATTTTTGAGCAAATGGATAATGGTTACATTTATTTATTTATTTTTATTTATTCTTTTAATTTAAATTCTTTATTGTTGAAAATATTACATATATCTCCTTCCCCTCCCCCCAGTGACCTCTCCCCAGCTGCTCCCACCCCCGAGCACATGCCCTCACCCCACTAATGTCTGTGTTGACTGGATATGTTTATATGCATGCATACAAGTCCTTTGGTTGATTCTTACCCAACACCGCCCCCCACCAAAACCCTCTCTGCCTTCCCTCTGAGGTTGGATGTCTGTTCCATGCTTCTATGTCATTAGATCTATTTTTGTTCATCAATTTAAGTTATCTATTATATTCCATAAATGAGTGAGATCATGTGATATTTATCTTTCTCTGAATGATATTACTTAGCATAATGCTCTCTAGGTCTATCTATGCTGTTACATATGGTAATTTTTTTATTTTATTTTTTTCTACAGCAGCATAGTATTTCCTTCTGTAGACATACCATGGATTTCTAATCCATTCATCTGCTGATGGGCACTTAGGCTGATTCCAAATCTTAGATATTATAAATTGTGCTTCTATGAACATAGGGGTACATATATCCTTTACAATTGGTGTTTCTGATTTCTTGGGATATAGTCCTACCAGTGGGATTGCTGGGTCAAATGGGAGTTCCTTTTTCAGTTTTTTTGAGAAAACTCCATACTGTTCTCCACAGTGGCTGCACCATTCTGCATTCCCACCAGCAGTGCAGGAGTGTTCCTTTTTCTCTGTATTCTTACCAGTACTTGTCATTTGTTGATTTGTTGATGGTAATCATTCTGACAGGTGACAACGGTTACATTTAAAAGACAGTACAGTACAGTTACTGCTTCTGGGACTAGGAAATCAGTTTTCAGAGATCTACTTACTGTGGTCTGATAAGTGGCTTAGAGGCTCATGGTCACGTGGTGCTCATTAGAATTGCTAGGAAGCTGCTACAAGAGAGTGGGGGTTGTAAATGTGCCACTGTAAGAAAAGAAAACAAAGTAAGTAAATTGTCTTTAACCACTGTAAGTACACATTTAGAATATACTGATCACTTGGTATCCGGTGTATTATGTTTACTTAGAATCTTTGTATATGTTATTTTGCCCATAAAGTTTATTTTTCATTGAAGAAATTTTTCGTCAAATTTTTGGCACAGTTGGGCTTTTCTGATGCTTATAAGTCTTTTTAAGTGTCCTAGACCAGCGATCGCCAACCTTTTGGACCTCACGGACCACCAGTGGTTCTCACACCACCGGTTGGCGACCACTGTGCTAGATTCTGAAAGGGTAAGAAAAGTTACTAAGTGGAAGTAACATTTTAAAAATCTTTTCCTTACCATTGTCTTTATTTAGTAGGGCCAAATATATTCTTTCTTAAAAACCAGAGGTTTCAAAAGCAACTTTACCTAGGGATCTTTCACGTTTCAGGCGAATGAGAAATTAGATTAGCTACATTCTATTTTCATAGATAATATATTTACTCAGAAAGCAAATCTTTAGTAATGTGCTCCTCTCAAGGAATAACATTTTCTATAATATTACTTTTGTTTTCTTTCAAAGGACATAAATGGAAGCAGGGGATGTGGTCCAAGGAAGAAATTGATATTTTGATGAACAATATTGAACGCTACCTGAAGGTATCTTATGGCATATTTTTTTGTTTCAGTAATTTTGTTCACTGCCAATTGCAGAAACATCAAAGCAGCATAAAATATGTACTTAGAAGCTTTTTAATAATTTGTGTAATGGATGACTGGCTAATGTAACTTGATTCGAAGGTGTATGATTTTAGTATATTTTTAAACCAATTTTGAATTCTCGGTTTGAAATAGCTTTTTTGCTTTAGTTAACACTCTGGAGTTTAGACAGAATCTTAATAGTCTCTCACAATCTTAAAACCTTGTTTTTTAAAGTAGCTTATATCCTGAACTGGGCCCAGTTGTGAGCATCTTTGTCATTCTGAAACTTTACTTTTATTGACTTTCACATTCCACCAGTTGTTGGTCCTCTTTGCTTGCCTGAAAAAGATGGAAAACAATTTTGGGAATAGGAACTGAGTGATGTAGAAGAACCTGAAATTCTCTCCTTCTATTCTTGTTTATTGATTGCAACAATCAACCAACCAAAGACAGTATCTGTCCACCCACCTTTACCAACAGGCAGCACCAAAAGCCTCTCCACTCCACAGCCCCACAGGGCTTTGGGCAATGAGGTGCTCAGGGCAGGGAGAGGCAGGCGTGGTGCAGGATTTAGTTGCCATTGAAGGCAGATCAGCAGCCTCAGTGCTGCCCCTGGGTGGCACCTATGAGTGAAAGAAACCACACATTTTTACATGATCTGCACAGATTCATAACCAATTATGTGATACCCTGAGGTTACCCTGCCAGTGTTTTTAGTCACTCTGGTGGTTAGTTGTACCAGCTCAAGCTGTTGATTCATCCCCAACACTACCTCGGTCCATTATATTAACTACTAGAGGCCCGATGCACAAAATTTGCGCTTGGGGGACAGGGGGTTCTTCAGCCTGGCCTGCATCTTCTCCAATCGGGATCCCTCAGATGTACATCACAGTCATATACTTACATCTCCCCTGAGCCCATACCTCTGGTACCCACTTGGTACCATACATAGTTATTGTAATACTAGGAGCCCAGCATGTGAACTCACATGGCCCTGCCCACCCACCGCCCTGCCATGACACCCAAACCTCTCCACACAGAGCTCCAACTAGCCTGGCCCAGCCCCTTCCCCTCTGGCCTTCTCGAGCCCCACCCTCAGTCCCTCAAGTTGCCTCAGGCTGGTCCCACCTCCTCTGGGAGCCTCCCGGCTTCCGCCCCATCTCCAGAGCAACACCTCCTGCAATGGGTGGTTACACATTAAGGCTCTTTATTATTATGACTAGTTGCCTGTTGCAGGAAGATTACTGCAATAGGGCTTCCTGCTGCACTCTCACCTACCCGCCTACTTGTCTTCCCTCTCCCCTGCCCCACTTGCTTGCTTCTCTGCAGCTTGGCTTCTTTCTATGCCATCTTGGTTGGGTTAATTTGCATACTCACCCTGATTGGCTGGTGGTCATGGCTTGGGAGTAGCAAAGGTGCGGTCCATTTGCATTTTACTCTTTTATTAGGTAGGATTATTGACTATATTCTTTATGCTGTATTTCATCTCCTATGACTATTTTGTAACTACCAATTTGTACTACTAATCCCTTTATTTTTTTGTTGTTGTTGTTTTGTTAATCCTCATCCAAAGACATTTTTTTCATAAAGTCGGAGTGGGGGGGATGGGCATGAATTGGTTGCCACCCACATGTGCCCGGACTGGGGATCTGATCACATGTGCCCTGACTAGGGCTGGGGGTCAAACCTGCAACTCAGGTGTGTGCCCTTGATTAGAAACCGAACCCAAGACCCTTTGGTGTGTGGGCTGATGCTCTAACCACTGAACTACAATAGGCAGGGCAAATCCCTTCATCTTTTTTATCCAGTCCCTCAACAGGTTCTTTTTGCTGTTAATTTGTACAAATCTAGTAGGTGTAGATGCTATTTTATTATGATTTAATTTCTGGTTACATGTTTTTATATGCATATTTGGACATTTATGGTTCCTGTTTGTCTTTCAGCAATTTTTCTGTGGGATTTTCCTTTTTCTAGATGTACTTAAAGTATGTCAGATCCTAATGATTTTCTGGTTGTGTTACAGATGCTCTTGTCCAATTTAGTGGCCTATCTTTTCTTTAGGTGTTATTTCAATATCAAAATTAATGTCCATTCTGACCTAGATTAATCTTCATGAGTGTTCTTGGCACTTTGCTCTTCCATTATAAATTTAGAATCAACTTGCAGAGAATGTAAAGTTTTTGGAATTTTTATTGAGACTGCATTGAATCTGTGCATCAGTTTCAGGGGAATTAACATCTTTACAACTCCATCTTCCTTTTGAAGAGCATTGTATAGCTCCCTCCATTTTAGTTCCTCTTTAATCTTTCAATACTTTCATATTTTCCTTGTATAACTTGCGTAAGATTTAGTTCTAATTGTGGTGCTTTTGTAAATGAGAACTTTTAAAGACTTTTTTATGAGCATTGTATAGAAATGCAAATGACCATCTATTGGTTTTATAACCACTAGCCTTCCTAACTTCCTACTGTTTTAAATCAAAATTTTCATAGATTTTTGGGATATCTGCAAATTATTTCTTTTCCAAGCTTCATGCTTTCTAACTTGCTAGGAGTGTTATCATATATGAATATTTTATTCTTTGTATGCTCTATCCACACTTACTAAGCTTTTATATTCTTTTCCATAAATCTACTCAGCTGATTACTTGTGTTCCTGGAATGAGCTCACTTTTTCCATTAATTATTAACCTTTTTATAAGCATGCTAAACTATTTTAAGGATTTGGGGGATCTGTGTTAATGGATGAGGTTGGCCTGGAAATTAATTTCTAAGACCGTCCTTGTCTGTTTTTTATATTAAGGCTATGCTAGCCTAATAGAATGAACTGAGAAGTGTTTCCTCCTTTTTTTTTTTTTTATCTACTCTAGAATAGTTTAAAGTCAGAATTATGTTTTGTGGGTTTTTTTGTTTTTTGTTTTTTTGCTTGATAGAATTTATCTATAAATTCATCTGGGCCTGGGATTTTCATTATTTCATTATGGTTTTCATTATTGATAAATGATTAAATTTTCTTGATGGTGCGTGCTTATTAGGTAGATATTTTTTTCTCTTCCTGAATCAGTTTTGGTAAGATTTTTAGAAATTTATTTATTTTATGCAAGTTTCTATATGTAGTACCATAAAATTTTCATAATGTTTGTCTATTCTCTGAAGGCCCAAGTTTTCATTTCTAATATTGCTGTTTTGTCTTTTTTCACTACTCTTGCCATAAGTTTATCTTTTTATATTTTATTAGTCTCAATAGATCTTTTCAAAGAATCAATTTTTAGCATTGCTTTTTCTTTCTATTTTTGATTCTCTTAATTTTGTTCTTATTATTTTCTTCCATCTACTTTCTTTAGATCTTAATTTTTTATCATTTTAAAAGGTTGGCAGAAACTGACTTTTCTGAATTTTATACAGTTTATTTTTGAAAATATTTAAGTATCACTATTACCTTGCAACATTTTAAATTTATACTCATTAAATGAATTAGCAACATTAGTTTTCAAAATGCCATTGTTAATCTTTTTTTTTTTAATGATTTAAAAGTATAGTATATTCATATGTATTTTATCAGAAATCCCTAAATCAAAGAAATGTAACCCATTTAGGCACGCGGAATAAAAGATGCTACAGAAATCATCTTTGAGATGTCAAAAGATGAAAGAAAAGATTTCTACAGGACGATAGCATGGGGTCTGAACCGGCCTTTGTTTGCAGTTTATAGAAGAGTGCTTCGCATGTATGATGACAGAAACCATGTGGGAAAGTATGAAACTTGCATTGTTGCATTATTTCATGTAATTAGGAGAAATATTAAAGAACTACTTTAAAAAATTGAATTATTATCATAGCCTTAATTGGAGACAGCTATTTATTAGGTTATGTTTCTCCAGGTCCATGTTCTGAATATGGTGAAACCTCATTATAATTAATTACTCTTTTGGAAATTAGAACATATATTACCTCACATAAGTTTGATTTAAAACTTAGCTGACTTATTACCTCAAAGTCTGTTTTGTAATAACATAAAAACTGTAATAGTGGTTAAAGATTTAGGAAGTATGAAGAGAACTCTATAGATTCATTGGTATCATTTTTTTTCCTATTAATTTTTATAGTTTATAGCATTTCCTAGTTCAGTGACTTTTTTTTTTTAAGTAACTAAATATTTGGATACTATGCATAGGTTTCTGTTATAGGTAACATGGGAAGGCATCATATTTCCAATTCAATTATTTATATGGTGTTTTGACATGATTTTTATTTCTCTTTGGGAATTTTAGGTGGTGATAATATGGCTTATCAGATACTTTTTTTGTGTTTTTTTGTGTATGGGATGGCATTCCAACCTACTAAACCACCCAGCCAGGGCTGAATACTGTTTTTTAGAAGAGTATTGCATTGACTGTATTGCATACTTGCCCACTAAAAAAAAAAAAAAGAGCCTTTCATTGGAGCTAGAGTATATCAGTGCACATGTATGGGTAGAGAAAATGAAGATAATTTTAACTTTTTAGTGCCTTGTGACATAGATTTTCTTCCTAGCTCTGGTTTACAATGTCATCGATAAGTATTTCAGAATAGCTATGACATTAGAGTGTCTGAACTGAATTTTTTTTTAACATATTTTTATTGATTTCAGAGAGGAAGGGAGAGGGAGATAGAAACTTCAATAGTGAGAATCATTGATGAGCTCTCTCCTAGATGCCCCATACTGGGGATTGAGCCTGCAGCCTGGGCATGTGCCTTGACATAGGCTGATGCTCAACCACAGAGCAACATCAGCCAGGCATTAACCAAATTTTTAAAGGAAGAGTTAGGCAGCATAGGAGCAAATATATTTTAAATATTGCATTTTCTAGAGAAAATTGTAAAGTGCTCACTTTTATTATAGCTAAAATTATCAATGTTTTTTTTTAAATGTAGAAGTATTAATTTTTATTATTCTACCTTGAAATTGGTTACCTTGAAAATATTATCTATTTTAACATTGGACCCCTTAAGTGAAATTCTGATTTTTATTAAGGTTTCTAGCATTCTTTGTTTTAATTGATTTTTTTTATTTAAATTTCTAGATATACACCTGAAGAAATTGAGAAGCTCAAGGAGTAAGTTTAAAATTTTTTATTCATTAATTCTGATAGTTGGGTTTTATTATTATTTTGTCTTGTATTTTAAAAGTTATACTTTGAAATATCAAGAGATTTTTGTAGACTGATCTAATTTAATCCTGCTGTTAAGCATGATTGACCATAAAAATTTATCAGATCTATACCTGCACAGAGTAGCCATGCCCGTAAATTTAGTCTCCTCCTGTCATTGATTAACAAATGAAATGCATCCTTAGACCACTGTTAGGGGTTATAGAAGGGATCAGATGGCCATGCTTGGTGACCTGAAGTCTAAATCTAGGGGACTTATATACCAGGATCAAACCAAGGTTGTGCTACATGCTTAGTTTAGAATATGAATATGACTTGGCAGTGTTTCACTTAAATTCTGGGTTCTTTCGCAGGAAATACAATTTTGCTTCATTGAGTTAGAACCATAAAGTACGGATTAATGTACTATATTTTATATATATATATATAATGAAAAAATTGAAGGATGATCCTGTTTATAATGATAAGTACTTATGAAACTTTTTCAGATATCTGAAAAGAGCTTGTTAGGAGTATTCAAAAGGGAAAAATCTGGGAGATTGTGTTGATAACCTGAGGGGAATTTTGGTCTTTTTTGAACACATATCCAAGTTACTTATTTCTTCTCTGACCCAGGAAAAAGGCAATTGCTGCCTGTTTTTTTTTTTTTTTTTTCACCCACAGACAACTGTGGACCCCAAAAAAAGGCCACACTTTCAAACTTTGACTCTCAAAGTGTTGCTGCCCACAACTTCCAAACCAGTCAAATGGGAAGAAGAAGAATGAAGAATAAATGATGAAATTAAAAGGGAGAAAACAGTTGAACCCAATGCTGATTGGCAGACTCTTGTTTTAGGCTCCGGATAAAGCATGGCAATGACTGGGCAACAATAGGGGCGGCGCTAGGAAGAAGTGCATCTTCCGTCAAAGATCGGTGCCGGCTGATGAAGGATACTTGCAACACAGGTACTGTGAGTGCTGCTGGTGGGCTTCTTCTCTGTTTTCATTTTTGGTCACATTTGAGCGTCCTGGCCTGAGTCCACTTTCCCTTCTGTTCTGGAAAGAGATTTTTGTTCAGAAATTTTATTTCCTAGTCTTTTTCTTCAGGCTTAATAGACCCAACTAGTTCTTTATTATTGTGCTTTTGTGTAAAAGTGGCATTGCTCACAGAGACACAACATTTCAGTTTCATAGGTTTTAAGTCAAGCGTGTTTCCATTTCGTAGCAATCCAAAACTGCTGTAGTTGGGAAAGTATTTTTAAGGATTACTAGTACACACAGGGATTTTTAAGGCATATATACAGGAAGTAATTTTAAGGTCATCTAACTGTTGAACTTTTGTTAATAACAGCTTATCAACATGTTTATGAAAAACTTGAGTTCTAACCAGTTCCCACTTTAGGAAGAAGCTGTGTTCCAATAGTTCGTATGTATTTGTTTTAAACTCAAACTATGAGTTTTTGTGTCCATCAGGCCATCAGTGAAGCTCCTTCCATTTATGACCAGGTATAACTGGAGAGTACATAATTCTTTCTAGTTATGCTTTGAATAGCTTTTCTTAGTCACTGTGTACTTTGTATTTGTAGTCTGTAGTATTTTTTTTTTGTACTAAGAACCTGACTGGGCTAGTAAAATGCAGCTCTTAGTAGGTATTATAAGCAGTTTCACACCTGAGGGTTATTAAAAATACTTTTAGTATGACTGCCTACTTCCCATCAGTCCTTACAAATAGAGGGCTGAGTCTGATCTGGAGGGGAGGGGGGGAGGAAGCAGCATTCTGGATGATTTCCTTTTTTTCAGGGAAGTGGACCGAAGAAGAAGAAAAGAGACTTGCAGAGGTGGTTCATGAATTGACCAGCACTGAGCCAGGTGACATTGTCACACAGGGTGTGTCTTGGGCAGCTGTGGCAGAACGAGTAGGTACCCGCTCAGAAAAGCAGTGTCGTTCTAAATGGCTCAACTACCTGAACTGGAAGCAGAGTGGAGGGACTGAGTGGACCAAGGAAGATGAAATCAATCTCATCCTCAGGTTTGTGTCCTAAATCTTTTAATGACAAAAGCTCCTTAATTGCTGTTGGTGCCTTGATTTTCCTCTTTCGGTTTGCCTAAATGCCTAATGTCTGAAAAGCATCCTTCCCATATTCCATATTGAGCGCTTTTTTGTTTTATTTTTTGTTCCTTCTTAGTGAGGTTAGTGCTTATGCAAAGTACCAGATTGAAGGCGTGGAGACTGAAGTTCTCTATATCCACAGAACAGTGTGGCACAGGCAACGGCAGTGCAGCTTTTCCACTGTCTCCCCAGTGTGCCTCAGTCCTGGGCTGGGTGGCCATACTGCAGGTGAGAGGGCTGTTCAGTCTCCATGCCCTCGATCTTTGGCCTCTGTGGTAGGAATGCCAAAGAGGGGTCCCAGACTGCAGTTACCACACACCTTCAGACTGGACAAGATCAGGCACTTGCATTTCATACATATCCAAAAATAACTAAGGTAATATCCTAAGCTTATTGTTTTAATTAGTTGGTTTAACCATGAAGAGTCAGTGACTCAAATGGAGGGGGAAAAAAGAAGAAAAAAAACCCACAAAAAACAAGAAAATATTTGAGACACTGAAGTAATTAATAGAAGCTATTGTGACTATTACCGAAAATCAAAATCAGCCCGACAGTTAAAGCTACCCAATAGAAAACAAACCATCAAAACCCCAGGGTTAGTTGTTTGTAGGGAGGTTGGGTTGTTGCTGGAATCTTGTTTTTATCTTGTCATTCTTGTTTTGAGTTTTGTTTTTAATAGTTATGTGTGGTTTTTTTAACTAGTCTTTATAAATAGCTAATTTCTACATACTTTTTAATTTTACAAATGAGAAAGCTCAGATCCTGGAAATAACTTCCTGTAACACACTATATGTAAAACATTGCAGAACACTATACAACTAAACCTGTTTTTACCCTATTCTGACCTTTAGCTACTCTCTCTCCTTCACGGTGCTTTATCTGGTTCATTTACAATTCTGCCCATTGGTTGTACCATTAACAAGTCCCTTGCTGGTGACATTTTGTAACTTTTACCTCTGGAAGCAGCTCTGCACCCCTGGAATTCCATACCGTGAACTTAACAATAGCATCTCAAGGACATAACCTGCCATACCTGTTGCCACCAGTGTCATTATGAGAAGGGAAATTATAGAGAAATAAACTAACATCTAACTGGTGCTTATTTTGTAACTATAGGATAGCAGAACTTGATGTAGCTGATGAAAATGACATAAACTGGGATCTGTTAGCAGAGGGATGGAGCAGTGTCCGCTCACCACAGTGGCTTCGAAGTAAATGGTGGACCATCAAAAGGCAAATTGCAAACCATAAAGATGTTTCATTCCCTGGTAATGTATTTTTTTGCTTAAGTCCCTTGTCTTAACCATATTTGCTTCTGGGCTTAGAGGTTAGAAGTTCTTTGTCTCAGCTAAAAAGATATGAGTTATAGATTTTCACTTAAATCTCTGATGCCCTATTTCTTGGAAAACAAGAGTTGATGTTATTTGTACTTTCAAGGCACACATTTATTTACACACATACTTGTTTTCACAAACTATGAAGAGGAACTGAATTGTAATCGACTTTTATGAGTTGAATAATTTCATATATCTTAACTTTTGTTATGTAGAGAAATTCTGTGATAATTTATTTTGTACCAAATAGATCTGTAAATTTTTAATATCATTTGTTATATAAACCTAGAAATGTTATATTGGGGTTGCTTAAAAGTGAGGCATAGCATACTTTTTATTACCTGCTGTGCACTCAGGCACTAATTACTAAGTTTTAAGTGTGCTTAATTAGGTAATTAAATTTATTTCCCTTAATATAGTTCTCCAACATCTATTTTTCTAGAGGAAAACGTGGTTTTTTTAAAACAAATACCCTGTTACAAATGTATATATCTGATAAAACCCCAGAACAGTGAATGAATACTGATGTAACATGAACCAAGCCAGACTGCAGCACCACCTGGAGGATTGATGTAGTTTATCATGTATTAGTTTGGAATTGATGAGCTGATGTTCTTGCAGTGGCTAAATATTCAAGTGCCCTTGAGTCCTTGGTGGGGGGGAGTACACTTTCATTTAAAAATGAAAATAAGCTATTTAGCATTATCAATGCTTGTACTGAACAGTAAGAATTTTATGAAGAAACCCTAGGACACAGAAAATGTCTTATTTCCATGTTCCTCACAATGGCTATTTTCAATGCATCTTAAATGGCAAGGACAATAAATATTATGTCATGAATTTTTTAAGTCTGTTGTGATGGAGGGCGTTTCTGAAAATTCCCAGACAGGCTGTAGTTTTAAAATATTTTTATTATTTTGGTAAGATTTCACATCCAGCATACAATTATTTATTCCAAATACTTTCCCTCCTTACCCCCCACCTCCCTTGCTGCTTAGATGGTGGTCTGTCGGAGAATCAATGTTCTTTTTGTCTACCCATCTCCCTTCAGTCTTAATAAAAGGTCTTAAACAGTTACATGAGAATCAAAAAAACAACCCACCGCTTTTGGAGAACAAATCGGGATCTGGAGTTCCAAACAGTAATTCCAGTTCTAGTGTACAGCACGTTCAGATCAGAGTGGCCCGCTTGGAAGACAATACAGCTCTCTCTCCAAGCCCCATGGCAGCCTTGCAGATTCCTGTCCAGATCACCCATGTCTGTAAGTGTTTTGGACCTCAAGACTCCTTGCTCTGTGACCTATGTAATTTGGCTAATGGCTCTGATACTATTCAATCTTCCAGAATGTTGAAATTTATCCAAGTTGATGAATTAAAGGAGACCTACGGCATTTTGTTAGCTGAATACGTGCACAAAAGATGGCTGTGATAGGAAGTGCTGGTAACCATTTTTGGCCAGCCATTGTAGACAATATGAAATTATCTTTCTAGATGTTATAAAGAAGTTAATGATTAATAGAAAACTACCTCATGTAGTCAATTGAGCAAGGAAACAGAGACCATAAGGTGGCATATCATTTGTAGTAATTCTTTGGAGGTCACAAATTAGGAATGGATTTGAAGTGGTATGTAAAAGAAAGGATTTTGATGAAGTTGTAAAAGATTTTCTTCAGGGACTAAAGAGCCAGTTTTTATGTGGGAACTCTTGTTTTAACCATCTTTTCCTTAGCCCCTGACATTTTTTGGGCTTAGAGATTATGAGAACCCTAGTAATTGTTGTAGGCAGGGAAAATATATTTCTTAAGACCTAAGCCAAGATTATCATCTACCTTCTTCCCATTAGCATAACAATGAATATAAAATTCTCAGGACCATTTTATTCTTTACTTATACATTACCTTTTCCCCCTACATAATGCAACTTGACTGTGAAAAGGTCGTTGCCCAGAGTACACCAGTCACTGTGTGTCATTCCCAACCAGGGGATTATTGGCATTTTGAATGGGGCAGTTCTTTGTTGGCAGGACTCCCTACATACTGCAGTATGATCAGTGTCCCTTGACCTCACCCACGGAATGCAAGTAGTGCTTTCCAGTCATTAAAGGGGGAAAAAAAAACACCCTACAGATTTACATTTGAAAATGTACCCTACGATCCTGTTTAAAAATCACTATGTAATTAACACTATATATTTGTATATGCAATGACTATCAAAGTTGCCTGATAGACATTTAAATTAAGCATTCCTGTCTTATTCTTAAAGTTCTAATTTAAATTTGGTTATTTGCCTTAGTTTTCTATCACTGTAATAAAGCTTGAAGAATTTTTCTTGGGCACTGCTGCTTTTTATACTTGAGAATTGCAAAGCACCTGAAATTAATAGTCTACCATAAATAAATACAAGAGCTACTTTTGGCATGGAGATTGTCACAATTTTTATTGACTATTGTGTTAGCAATAATTTTTTAGAAAATAGCATTTTACAAATGACTAGGAGTCCAGTGTACAGAATTTGTGCAATGGGGGGAGGGTCCCTCAACCCTCTCCAATCTGGGAGCCCTCAGGAGATGTCCTACTGACAGCTTAGGCCTGCTCCCCATGTTTCTGTGCTCTCTACAGACCTGCCTGCTTGATGCCACCGCAGGCCCTGGTGTCTATTCTCTGTGGGGACCTGCTTGCCCTTAGCCACCAGGGTCAGGAGCAAGCAGGGCCCTGCTATCTGCTCTCTGGCTCGCCGCCACAGGGACAAGCAGGGCCCTGGTTTCTGCTCTCTGTGGGGGCCCTGCGGGGGACTGCATGCCTCTCACTGCCACAGCCAGGGGCAAGCAAGGCCCTGCTGTCTGCTCACTTGCTGCAGAAGACGTTCCCGTGTGCTCCCGCTCCCCTCCCCCGAGCGCCTAGGTCCAGAGCGCAAATTACATAGGTCACAGAGCATGCTGAGACCCTGGCTGCTCCAGGCCTATAAGCTCAGAGCAGCCTGGGTCCCGGATGCCTGTCCCCAGGATGCCTATCCCTGGGTGCAGGCTGCTTGGTGCCTGCGCATGCACAAGCGGCCACCCAGCCCCCAGCTGGTCTGCATATGCAAATTAACCCATCATCTTTGTTAATTTGCATACTCCTGATTGGCCGGTGGGCGTCATGGAGGTATGGTCAATTTGCATGTTTATCTTTTATTAGTATAGATACCTTAATATTTATCCACAGCAGAGCTTAGCCTTGAGGCACATTTGTCTATAGTCAGTTTGCTTTCCTTTGGTTTAGGTCAGTGGTTGGCAAACTCATTAGTCAACAGAGTCAAATATCAACAGTACAATGATTGAAATTTCTTTTGAGAGCCAAATTTTTTAAACTTAAACTTCTTTTAATACTACTTCTTTAAAATAGATTTGCCCAGGCCGTGGTATTTTGTGGAAGAGCCGCGCTCAAGAGGCCAAAGAGCCGCATGTGGCTCGCAAGCCACAGTTTGCTGACCGTATATTTACGTTATTTATCAGGAATCATTTCCAAATTATTCTAGGTATGATCTTTAAGAATACTTCAAATAGTAAGAGAAATAACCCAAATGAAGTGTATTTTTTCAAACTGAAAAGTGTTATAGTCAGAATATAATAAACTTAGAATAAACACTACACACGAAGAGTCAATTCCAAATCATTTTGCAGATGGATTTACCTACAGGTGCAACTGAAAGCATCAGAAGAGATCTTTCTTATAGTAAAATTTTAGTTCCAGGTGAAACCGTCAGCAGATAGCCAAAACTGGTTTGGCTCAGTGGATAGAGCATCAGCCTGCGGACTGGGGCGTCACGGGTTTGATTTCGGTCAGGGGCACGTACTGGTTGTGGGCACATCCCCAGTGGGATGTGAGCAGGAGGCAGCTGATCGATGTTTCTCTCTCATCGATGTTTCTGGCTATCTGTCTCTCTCTCTTTTCCTCTATTTAAAAAAATCAATAATATATATATATATTTTAAAACCTTCAGCAGACAGTAGATGAAGTCTGAGTCTCAGTTGATACACCCCTAAAGAGATTATACTATCTAATCTCTAAAGTGCTGATCAGTCTCCCAAACATGGTTGTTCTGAAACAATGCCTATATTTATTTCATGTTTTTAATCCTCATGACTATGAAGTAGGCAGGACAGATAAAAGTCTCTGGACTTTAGTATGAATTAAAGTATTTTCCCAGGTTTACACTGCTAGGAGGTGACGCCACTAAAACTAAAACCTAGTGTTTGGGACTACCATTTTAGACATCTGTACCGCTTATCAGAATGTCTAGGAAATTTTCTTTTTTCCAACTTCCTATTTCTTTACAAGTTAGCCTCAGTGTATTCCTCTTACTTCCTAACACTAGAAATATTTTACAACCTATACGAGGGGCTGGTAAATATTGTCTCTCTCAAGCTACTGAACTCTGACATCGTAGGGCAAAAGCAACCATAGAAAAGAAACTCGTGGCTGTGTTCCTGTAATACTTGATTACAAAAACTGGTAGAGGGATTTGACTGTGGGCCAGTTTGCCAATCCCTGATCTATATACATGCTACATTCCAGAAAAATCCATTTCTCAATATCTCAAAAGAAATTTAAATGAATTCAGGCTTAAGTAAGTACACTAGTAAAATTTAAATTTACAAAGTATTTAGTTGTCCTTGCTCTTACCACAGCTTCAACAGACTCCCCTGCTGCTCCAGTTGACTCGGAAACAATAACACTAAACAGTGGGACACTACAAACGTTTGAGATCCTTCCAGTGAGTAATATTTCACAAAGTACATTTTGCCATTTTCATGTATAAGAAAGGTCAGCGGTATCAGTTTTGGAAATGCTACATATAAGCAAATGAAGTATGAAAACATGACTGGCATTAAGTTCAACTATGTCCATGGTTTTGAGGCCAGATATTTAGAAGACAACATAAATTAGCTTTCACTTTTATAATTAACTTTAGTCTTTTCTCCACCTGTATGTAAACAAACATTATGTTCTTTTTATATATGAAAATGACAGTGCTAACGAGTAGGGCACATGCATGCTGTAACTTTGTATTGAGTCATAAGTAAATATATAACCAAAAGGTTCATATTAGTTATTTGAGAAAAGGCTTGTAGAATAAATTACTTAACAACATTCATTCAGTAAACATTGTACTAACCATTTGAGGATACAGAATTTAAAAGTCACAGTGCTAAATGGCATTGGAAAAGAATCTTGTAGTTTCTGAAAAGATTAAAAATATAGTTAAACCATGTGACCCAATTCTAATTTCAGGTATGCCTAAGAGAAATGTCTAAAAACCTGTACATGAATGTTCATATTCATAATAACCAATAACCCAATTCTAATTTCAGGTGTGCCTAAGAGAAATGTCTAAAAACCTGTACATGAATGTTCATAATCACAATAACCAATAACAACCCAAATGTCCATCCATTGATAAATGGGTAAATGGAATGTCCTAAAGCCTACAAACGGCTTGGCAGTAAAAGAGAACAAAGTATTTATATACATGCTACAATCAGAATGAACCTTGAATACATATTAAGTGAAAGAAACTAGACTGGAAATACCATATAGTGTTTAACTACAATTTATTTGAGCCTTCCAAAATATCAATAGGAAAGCCTATGGCTGCTAATTTGGAAGTTTCTTTTGGGGAAATGGAAGTTTTATTTAAAAACTCCCATTTCTCGCCCCGCTGGTGTGGCTCCACTGGTTTGAGTGTTGACCTATGAACCAAGAGGTCACAGTTCGATTCCCTGGTCAGAGTACATGCCTGGGTTGCAGGTTTGATCCCAAGTAGAGGGCATGCAAAAAACAGCTGGTCCATGATTCTCTCTCATCATTGATGTTTCTCTCTCTCCCCCTCTCCTTTCCTTTCTGAAATCAATAAAAATATATTTAAAAAAACAAAACAAAAACTCGCACTTCTTGCCCTGTTTTTTAAATAGGGTAAAGCCAGAATTCGTTCAATTTTCATGAAGAAAATATAAAATAGATTTTAATTAAATTAAGATTTATTTATTGTGAACATAAGGACTGTTAGTGCAAGAGTTTACGCTCCACAGCCAAATCTCACAAGAATTGCCAACATAGCAAAAAGTTCTCTTTGAGAACAAACTTCTGTTAGTTTATTTAAACCTAACCCAGTAATCTATAAATATAAAATAGGGATAAAGATCTTTTTTCATAGTATAAAACAGAACTCTTCTTTTTTGCTACCTTTTACTCCCCCTGACTAAATAAACAATGTGTACACATATATCTGGGGTATGTTTCAAGTTTTTACTCATCGGGTTAAAATCAAATATTTATAGTTCTAATCCTATATAATAGAGCTAATATGCTAATGGTCATGATGCCCTCATGCCGTAATGACTGATCAGCAGGGCAGGAGGCGGCAGGCGCGGTTGGGCAGCGACTTGATGCTGTGTCCCCAGCCGGCCGGCCGGGTGGGGCCAGCCGGGTCTGGGTCTCTTCCCTTTTAATGTGCATGAATTGTGTGCATCAGGCCAATAGTGTATTGATAAAGAATAATTGTGAACATTGGTCTGTGCCCAGGAGAGCAGTTGTGGCTTAGGTCCACAAGATCCCATCAGACTAAAGAACATGCAAATACTTTAGAGTGTTAGGATAAACTAAATTATTATATAGAAGCTTATGGTCATGAAAGGTATAGGAGTGTTGAATAGTTTATTATCTTTCTATAATCTCAAAAAAATAAATGTGTTGTCCATTTACCAGCTTTTCAAATGGGAATTTTCTTTTTTCTTTAGCAGAACACTGCTAATTGCTATATCTGTACATTTCCTCTTAATATAAAAAATATTTGCTAAAATCATTCTAGACAAAAAAAAACCAAAAAAAAAAAAAAAAAAAAAACCTATTCAAGTAACACTGGCCTTTTCAAAAATGTAAAGCTTTTGAAATTGGGAGAATGATAGTTTTTATGTGCTAATAACAAGGGAAACAGTGGCTCATGTTACCACATCTTAGTCCCATGAAACAAGAGCAGAGCACAGAAAATCAGAAAGTAGACAGCAGGATAAAGGCCTTGCCTCTCTGTTTTTAACTCTAGGCTAAGTAATGACTTAAGAGGGATACACAGTAAAGGATATTATAACCTTCATTTTATTACTTATTTTACACCTACACAATTGGTATGTACTTTTGTGGCTAGTGAATTAGTCCCCGTTTGGGATACAAAGCTAGACTTAATGAGTACTAGTAAGTCTACTTACCTAACTCAGTAGTCTATGTATCTGTGTTGATGTGCTTTTTTTCTTTTAGTCTTTCCATTTACAGCCCACTGGGACTCCAGGTACCTACCTGCTTCAGACAAGCTCAAGCCAAGGCCTTCCCCTCACTCTGACTGCTAGTCCCACAGTAACCCTGACGGCTGCTGCGCCTGCTTCTCCTGAACAGATCATTGTCCATGCTTTATCTGTATGTTGCCTTACATAAACTCTTTGGGTTTTCTAGTTTTTGTAGAGAAGATTGGCTGACAAGTGTCTCCATGTTTTTCTAGTTTTTAACACTATGCTAGAACCCATGTGCCTTCCATAACAAGCTCTCTGAGGGGAGGGGGGTTTATTTTGAGTTCAGTTCAAGTATTTGAATACCTGTTAAAAGAGACCAAGATTAGTTTACCGGTATTTAAACCATTCTCCCTATCACTGTTGTCCCAGGACCAATGTTTTACATCTTGATTCTGCCTTCACTGGGACAAATCCCTCTCTCCCTGTGAATCTTTACATGTGATGGATTTGTATTAGGGGAATAGGAATATTAGGTGAGCAAAGGCCCAAGTGGGCAGAGAACAGGGTTTCTAGAATAATTGTGATAAGAACACTGCAGTTCCAGAGATGAGAGGTGGGAGGGAACAGTAGCTCATATTAGCACCTATAAATGTCACTTGTTGCCTATAACTTGAATATGAAAGGTACTTTTTCATTTCGTCATTGATCTCTTTTTTTAACATTTTATAGCCAGAGCATTTGTTGAACACAAGTGACAATGTCACAGTGCAGTGTCACACACCGAGAGTCATCATTCAGACAGTTGCCTCAGAGGACATCACTTCTTCCATATCCCAAGCAGAACTGACAGTAGATAATGATATTCACTCATCCGATTTTCCTGAGCCTCCAGATGCCCTGGAAGCAGATACTTTCCCAGATGAAATTCATCAGCCTAAGGTGACTGTAGAGCCATCATTTAATGATGCTCGTGTATCCAAATTCAGTGACCAAAATAGCACAGAACTGATGAATAGTGTTATGGTCAGAACAGAAGACCTTAAACAAGAGGAAGAATCACACTCTCATTTGGCCTGTACTTACGTTACTGAGGTAAGTTATACTTAAGTGAACAGCCTATAGGTTCTTGCCTTGAGCTTCAAACCTGCAGTTTGGAATGAGCTCAGAAATAATTTATGGATATATATGTTATCCTGTGATATGGCTTTTCTTTAGACACAAAATAAAGTGCAAACCCATACCTCTGACCGCACAAGTATCAGTCGCCCAGCAGTGTTACTCCGTCTTACCACTGTCCCGCACTAAAAGCATTCCCTTGGAAACATCTGCTGGAACCCATGGAAGCATTTTCCTGAGGGTGATTAATATAGATCTTTGTGGTTTAGCTTAGGAACCTCATGCCACAGAAGAGCATTATTCTATAATCAGGGGACCTATAACTGAATTGGTTCTTTTGTCCATTTTAAGACCTTAACTTTCATTTCTTTATATTTTAATTTTAAAACTAGAGGCTCAGTGCATTAATTTGTGCACCAGTGGGGTCCTCAGCCTGGCCTTTGGAATCAGGCTGAAACTGGCTCTCCCAACATCCCCCAACGGGTTGGGGAAGGCAAAGGAAGGCTCCAGGGCATGTTCATCCCATCCCACTCAGTCCTGATCAGCCTGACCACAGCAGCAAGCTAACCTATGAGTTGGAGCGTCAGTCCCCTGGTGATCACAGTGAGCAGCTGAGTGGCCTTAGCATATCATTAACATATTACACTTTGATTGGTTGAACAGACCACCAGACACTTAGCATATTAGGCTTTTATTATATAGGATGGGATACTTGAAAGTTAAGTCCTTTCAAACTTAAACATGTTTTGGATTTTAAGGAAAACTAATAATCTGAGTCAGAATCTCTTTTTTTTTTCTTTTTTTTTAAATTATTTAGGATTTAGAGTCTCCTACTATAGAAGAACAAGTTGATCAAACAACAATTGATGATGAAACAATACTTATTGTTCCTTCACCACATGGCTTTATCCAGGCATCTGATGTTATAGATACGGAATCTGTCTTGCCGTTGACAACACTAACAGGTACTGTAATACATCTCCATCATGTGCCTGATAAGTCTTAAGAAGAAAAATCAGGCAGATAATTAATCCAATTGTTTTAGTCTTTCTTGGTCCAACAATAAAGATTAGTCTTCTTGTTAAATTTTGCACTTTGGTAGAATACTTACTCTAGATTCTTAACATGGGTTAGGATATATATGTTATATACATTTAAGACTAATTTGAAATTTAACTCATTACAGATCCCATATTCCAACATCATCGAGAAGAATCAAATATCATTGGGTCATCTTTGGGCAGTCCTATTTCAGAAGACTCAAAGGATGTTGAAGATTTGGTAAACTGTCATTAGGTAATTCTTAAAAACAGGTAGTTCAGGCAAAGAAGCCACACTGTTAACTACAACATCCCCAAAGAAATAGGAGCAATCCCCAGGAGGCTTAATTTACCATTCCTCTGGCTTTTAAATACATACAGTGCTTAAGCCATGAAGTGTTGCTGCTATGACTTTTTACCTCCTTTAAATATGTCATCTGAGGTCTAGTCTTATGGAAATATAGTATGGGAGGTCTTAAGTCCATAGATCCCTGTGGTAAGTGCCATCTATTAGCAGGGAATTTTATTCACTTCAGCCACTGAGAAGAGTTTTGAATCACCAAAGTTTCACTACTATGTTTTAAAAATGGTGTAATATTCATCTCTGATGATCAAATATGAATCTCTGACTAGTCCCAAGTAAACCTGTTTTATATTTCATCAGCATGGTCTGGAGTTACCAGTGACCTTCTTCAAAAAGAGAATCATTAGCTTGAGACTGACCAGTAGACAAGGACACGGACCTAGGAGATGATTATGCTGCAGTTTCCTTTGGTTTTACTGATTGCTGGCATTGGGAGCTGAGTCAAGCTGGGTAGAGAAGAAAGCATTAAGAGATAAAAATATTCACTACAGGATTTTTTTTATTATTATTACTTTAAAGGAACTATGGATAGTGGTTGTGTCAAAACACAGTTTTCACTTCTTCAGAACCCATTGTCATCAGTTTACAAAATTAGCACTTTGAAGTAAAATGAAATGGGAAGGAAGTTCCCTGTCCTATATTATGACCATTTCTTACGTATTTTGCAATATAAAGTACCCCGAAAATAATTAAGGAGGGTATCAGAGTTTGCTGTTCACTTAGTGCATTAGCTGGTGAGGGTGTGATAAAATTTCTCCCTCTCGGGCAATTTAAAAAACAAAATTTGCTTCTGTAATGAAATGAAACAAATTAAGAGTCATTCCTGTACTAGAAAAGGTTAAACCAAAACTAGCCTCTTAAAGCTTTAACATATATGACTCTATAGAAAAGTAAACAAAAAAAAAAAAAACCTTGTATAAATTATTTTATTTATTATTGTAATTAGATCTTCACAATCAAATTGTCTTTTCACCCGTCTGTTTTGTTAATGTGAAAACAAATTGTACTTTTAAGCAAGAGTTGGTTGCCTAGGGAACAATAATTGTATATTCAGTTTAACAGAAATAAAAGAATATTTGTCTTAAAATGCAAGATTGATTGTTACATAGCCTTTCGCCATGCGTTACATTATAAAAAATTTCAATTTCAAAAGTGAAAATCATTTGTGCTGTTTGAGCTTTAAGGGTTGGAATGTGGAATGTTTAAGTGCAACATCAGCTCCTTAAAAAAGCAAAGTGATCTATATAATGTCTCCCCTGCAAAAGGGGATTTAGATTTACAATTAACATGAAAATCATGTATCAGACTTGTGCAGGAGATTCTTCAGCATACCTTATCCAGCTTTTATTCACAGTCCTAATGTATAGCTTTGAAGAGACCTGGTAAGTATTTTCTCCTTGGCAGCCTCACTTTCCCACATCATGGAAGTACAGGTTTGCACATATACATAACATGGTGATAGAAAATAAGTTATAGTAAATTAGGTTTCTAAATTTCGGTTCTAAGTCTCCTTGTCGATACCAGTAGATCTAAAAGAAGAAGAATTAAAAATTTAAGTAATAACCATTGGTTCAAGTATTTAAAATATAACTAATTATTTTTCCCCTGGATGAGACAGATTTTGTATTAATATACATTCCTGAGACTTAATGCAGCCAGAATTCAATTCTTATTCTTTATCATTCAAGTAATACCACTAAGTCTCTGCATCCAAAATAATACTGTTCCTGTTTGCTCAGTTAACATTGTTCTATGCTCAAACCACAGCATCCACCAATCATTTGGCAAGCATTCAAAAATGTGTACCTTTTGGATGTTTTAAATACAGGGTGGGCAAAAATAGGTTTGCAGTTAAGAGTATGCCAGAGTTTATTCTTTTGTATATTTCTCCATCTAAACAATTAAACCTATCTTTCCCACCCCTTCATATTTGAGTAAAAAATACAGTTCCTTTAGGTTCTGGAAGGGGCAACAACTTAATTTATATACAATTCAGGCTGCCAGTACAAAATTGGGCTTACATATGCATGTGTTTAGTTCAAACTAAATTACTGTCGGTCACTTCTGGCTCTAGGCTGGGAGTGGAAGGAGAGCGTCTCTGGTCGCTTTGTTTCAAAGGCTCCTAAAGTGAGGTGGCCAGTCCTGCCCTCAGATCACAGGACAGCAGAATCAGTGCATTAGTTTGGAGATCCTGTTTAATCTTAAGTCAAATGAGCATATTGCTATTATGATTTTAAGCCCTATGTGAGTCAAAACAAATATAAGGGGCTTACTGTGTTGATTCTGCCTCTTATCAAAGGAAATGAAACAATAACCAACTAATGAATGACTGAACACTTGGCAAATACCCAACTGAGGCCTACCACCATCTTTATTTCTCAACCTAAAATAAAAGCTTTGTAGTAAAATTAAAACTAAAGTGACAGCCGAAACCAGTTTGGCTCAGTGGATAGAGCATCGGCTTGGGGACTGAAGGGTCCTGGGCTCGATTCCGGTCAATGGCATGTACCTTGGTTGCAGGCACATCCCCAGTAGGGGATGTGCAAGAGGCAGCTGATGGATGACTCTCATCGATGTTTCTAACTCACTATCTCTCTCCCTTCCTCTCTGTACAAAATCAATAAAATATATTTTAAAACAAAACTGAAGTGACAAGTACAACTACAGCTCTGGGTTCCCCTGGAGAATTACTTTCATTTGGGAGGTAAGCACAGAAATTAAAACAGGCTTTTTAATTATTAGAAATAAACCCAGAGCGCTAGTGCTGTCTCTCTTCCCATAAGAACAGTAATGTCCTTTCCCAAAGTCTGCTGAGCCCAGTATGCAGTTCTTGAAGAAAGATGAATTAAGCACAACAAATCTATGGTCACCTAAGTCTTTTTAAATATTTTTTTTTTCTCCATTTTTTAGCACCAAGGGAAGTTTCCCTTTAAGGTTACAACTTTGGGATTTAAAAGAAAAGAAATTCAGATTAAAAAAGAAAACCCTGCAAGTAATATTGAGAATTCTGGCGTCCTTGGGCTGGGGTTGTAATTAGAGATACCCTTTCATATAGACACAGAGCTGGGAATTTGTCCGGGTACAGCAACTTTCAGCCCTCCAGGATATTCAGTTTCCGTTCTAAACAGTACTCACAAGTATGCAGGCAGTAATAGTATTCAAAGAGATGCAGACAGCAAAAAATATATTCAATGGTTTTGGAGGTGGTTGAGGGAAAACAAAAGCACTGATCAGCGTTACCTGTATGAAGAGAAATTAGGCCTTAGGAGTAATTTAGTTAAGACAATGTAATATAACATACTTCACATTGTAAAGTGACTTATCACCAGATTTGCCTTATGGAATGTTAATTTAATGTAATGTTTAATAAAATACTTGCTTGACTGTTACTTCATTTAGCACTTCCTCTTTCTAACTTTTTCCTTCTTTGTGAAAGGTGACAAAAGAGCAATATAACTAGCTATAATATCTTCATTAACAAAATAATATCTTCATTAACAAAGATTAAAAAGAATTTTAGCCTCATTGCTAGGATTAACAATTACATTGAGAAAAGTTCTAACCTTTTTGTTAATCTGAATACTCCCAACAAAAAAATATAACAAAACTGTTTTTGCTTAACATTATGAAAAATTACTGAAAGGGATTTCTAATGCCCTATGGAGGGCTGTTTCTACCATAGATACCGCAATATACCTATTATTATTATTATTATTATTTTTTTAAGAAGCCTTGTTAACAAATTGCCTCAAGTTTTCTTACATTTAATGAACATGCACCACAGAAATGTCACTCTCAGACTATGGGAAATAGCTTTGTTTTTTATTTTATTGTGATAGCACTAACCTGTATTATACAGGCTGCATAATATGACCAAATAGTTTTAACCCAAAATATGATGAATGTGCTTTAAGGAACAAAGTAAACTTAAGATATTATCAAAAAAAAGTGAGGACCGGTAGGATGTACAGAAGGGAGTTTGTGGTAGACACTGACACGTTACTTATTTACTAGGCAAACTCAGAAAAATAAGTTATTTGACTTGTACTATTTCAAATATTCAACTATATGCAGGTGGAAACCAATTGAGCTACTCGAGTTACTAATTGCAATTTTAAGTGGTATTAAAATTTAAAAGTTTTAATGTAATTATGACTGGAATGTTTCATGTGCTGATATGCTGCCCCCTTTTAAGTATTTTTTTTTTTTTTGAAGAGTTCATTGAACCACAATACTAAAGTTTTTAAAAGGGTGAGACACAAAATAAAGATACTTACTAGAATCAATAAGGATGTTAAGATGCCAACAACTAAATTGATGATTCGGTCCTAAAAGAGAAAAGAGTTTTTGAGCCATTTGGTAGATCTATGGCACTGTCAGAAAAGTACAGCACTAGGCACTGCACGATTAGAATGAAGAAACGAAGATCCTGCCCCACTCTTTACACATACATGATTGCCAGAAAGGCAGAGTGTACTCTGCCACCAAAGTGGGGAAGGTACTCTGGGAAGACACGATGTCAATACGAGAAATATTCAAACCTATAGAGAATTTTTGTGAGTTTATTTGAGCCAAATTGATAATTGCCAGGAAGCAAAATCTCAACAGATTAAGAAACTGCTCCAGAGAATGCCAGTTTTGCACCTTAATTTATACATTACAATCAAAAGAGAAGCTGTAAGGGGGTTACATGAAATCTATTTGTGACAGATTAGGGAGGCAGGAGAAAGCAAATTAGGGAAACTTCTGGGTTTGTACAAAAAGTAAAATGACAGCCGGGACCGGTTTGGCTCAGTGGATAGAGCATCAGCCTGTGGACTGAAAAGTCCTGGGTTCGATTCCAGGCAAGGGCATGTACCTTGGTTGCTAGCACATCCCCCGTGGGGTGTATGCAAGAGGCAGCTGATCGATGATTCTCTCTCATCGATATTTCTAACTCTATCCCTCTCTCTTCCTCTCTGTGAAAAATCAATAATATTAATATATATAGTAAAATGACAGATGGTTAACAGTCAACAAATAACAATGAGGGATTTGTGGTCTCCACAGAGTGGTGCTCTGCTTTGAGGGGTCTGGATAAAGGAAATTACTTTGACATTCCAAAGGTAGATTATTATGCAAAAAAACAACAGGTTTATTGTAAAGGTGAAAACTGACCTTTGTCAGGGGAGATTGTTTTTTAGCCTAGGACAAGTCTACCCACTATAAACTGCTTTCTGTTAAGTTTTAATTTCAGACCATCCTATGTTTGTAAGGCCACCACACACAGGCCTCCTGAGATTGTCACGTTTAACATATGGCCCCATTTCATCCACAGGATAGGACATTTTTTACACTCAACTCTTTTGAAGATGGAGAAGGGTTCAGTGGGGAACATTAGGCTTCCAAAAAAATCTGTGCTGCTAGAACAGTAGGAGCAGGAACAGAGATAGGAGCCCTGGGATGGCCAGCCCAGATCCTTGGTGAAAAGAACCAGACTATAGTGATGTCAAGCACCATCATGAGTTTTTTTCCAACTTATATATTGGAGCAAAGTCTTCAATATATAACCCCCCTGACTGCCTTGTCTCTCATCCTCACCCCAACAAACCACAATGGTTTCAAAACCTTCTGGTCGAATCCAATCTTAATTTTACAGATTAAGGTACATTTAGGCCAGTGAGTGTGGTTAAATATTGCCTAAAGTCACTCAGCAAGTTAGAAGCAACTTTGAAATGGAGTTCCTAAATCAGGGCCTCTGACTAGATTTAGCTTCAGTTATAGGGACTTAAAAAAGTTAAATACTTCACATACATACATTACTAATATTAATTATGCAGACCATAGATATGTATTAAGTTACAGAAGTTATTTGTAGAGTTTACAGAATAAGGTCAAGGATTTAAGACCTGATGAGCAAACACTACTGGAAGGCCAATAAAACCAAGCCGTCTTATTTCTGAGAAAGCTGAGTAATCAATCTGTTGTCTTCGTAAAATTTTAGCAGAGAACAGCAGGATATGGAATAAACAAAAGCTCGGAGATGGGAAAGGTGTAGAAACCAGCACAGAACAGCAACTAAACACTCATTTCATACTGAAAAATAAGAATCCAAAGTTAAGAGGCAAGCAGGTCTGGAAGGCAAGCATGAAAGAAAGCCAAGAGTTCTATGGCATGTGCCTAATCTAACCAAGGACAAAGCACTGTCCAGACCAAGGCCAGTGCGAGTCCCTGTGGTATGGTACAAAAGATACTGAATACCGACCACACCCGTTCTAACCTAGGAAGGCTCAGACCAAACCTTACACTGCCTCAGCTAGAGGAGCCTAGACAGCACATAGCAGCCTAGAATGCTGACCATTCTTAGAGAAGAGACCCAGGGGCTAACTGCTGGTCACTATTACTCCGGCACAACACAAAATTTTAAATAGATATATATATATTTTTTAATATATTTTTTATTGATTTTTCACAGAGAGAAAGAGAGAGGGATAGAGAGTTAGAAACATCGATAAGAGAGAATCATCGATCAGCTGCCTCTTGCACACCCCCTACTGGGGATGTGCCCGCAACCACGGTACATGCCCTTGACCAGAATTGAACCCAGGACCTTTCAGTCCGAAGGCCAACGCTCTATCCACCGAGCCAAACCGGTCCCTGCACAACACAAAATTTTAAATGTGTGTGTGTTTAACATAAATGTGTATATAGTCTATTACCACTCTACCTTGTGAAAAAGGTTCATCTAAACTCTTATGGTCTACGCTGAGAAGTCAAGAGATTCTGCTCCCATCTCTTTATAATCTCCAGGGATTTGCAAAAGCTTAAGGAAGTCTACATACCTGCCAACATTCCTCTTTCCAACAGAAAGAGGCCAGTGCAGGTGTTCAAGTGAGAGGTAGCCAAGAATCACTCATCTCCGAACAGCAAGTTGCCAACCAGGATTAAAGTGTGTGTGTGTTTAGGGGGGGGGGGGGGGGGGAGATAATGGTAAGGAATAGTAACTATGCCAAAAGGTTTTGCATATCTTTTCTAAAAGTTCTGGGATGAAATGGTATCATGAGAATAAAACAGGCTCAGAGAAATTGAAAACTTGCCCAAGTTCTCAATACCAATGAGTGATGGAGACAAGATTCAATGCCAACAGAGCAGATTCCATTTATCCTCCTCACTGGAAGAGCAACCTAGAATGCTACTGCTGGTCTAGACAAAGATACCAAGTGGCAGTTAACACCTCAAAAAGCCTATTGGCAAGATATTACCATGAAGTGTTTATCTCCCAGGAATGAAGAGTTCCTTGTAAGTGATTTTTTTTTTTTTTTTCAGATTGTCAGACTTATCCATGTAGGTCTAACTAGTTTTAATCTCTCATGAAAATATATCTAAACTAATGACTACTACCCTACTTGCCTTCTAGACAGTTCACCAAATGGAACGCTGAGGCATCTACACAGTCTCTCTGGACTCCCAAGATGGGATGAACTGTTTGGCAAAGGGCAGGACAGTTTCTTCCAGGCTATTCTTTCTCCAAGCCAAGACCTTAGATTCAGACCTTCTGCTATCAAAGTAACCATGAGTACAGGCCCAAAACAGTTAACTTTGGAAGGCTTCTCACTCTTAGGCTCTTTCTTCTTAAATGCTTACTACACAAAGTGTGTACTGTGGGCCAGCAACACCGGCCCCTGCTGAGAGCCCGTGAGAAATGCAGAATACTGGGTCTCACTCCAGACCCACTGAATCAAAATCTGCATCTTACCAACCACTCAGGTGCCTTTTGTGCACATTTAAAATTTTAAGAAGCATGACTCTGAAGTTTAGATTCTAAATGAAACCATTTTGAATACTGACTAAGTCCAAGTCAAAGGTGAGAGACCTTCCCCTGGGCCCAGAGATTGTTTTTCAGGGCTTTATTAGCTCCCCCAGCTCCCAGTCTCCAAAGATAAAAGAATAGAGAACAATTAAACAGCCAATTGGTATTTCATGAGTTTTAGAATTGATAAGCTCCAAATCAGAAATAGAGTACTTGCTGAATTTAATCTTTGCTGTTTATGGAATTAACTGAAACTCAGATTATTTCCACTGTATAGCTAGTTCCTATTATTTTAATTTCTCACAGAAACTAGCGCTATCTCCTAAAAAAGTTTTATCACCTTTTTCCATCTACCAAAACCATTCTCCCTTCCCAGAGCCTTAAACTTGATACTATTGTTTATTTTCACTCCCCAAGGAAGGTTGGTTGACAGGATCAAAACCAGCCTTGATCCTTACCTGCAGAGGAGAGGAGAGGTAATCAGGATGTCCTTCCCAAAGACAAATTCTCAACAAGAGGTTAAGAGATAGTCAACTCCTATACATGCAGATATGAGCACATGGACATAAAAATTTACATATATATTCTTGAGGAGGATTCTGATATATAACCTCATAAGTCATTTGTTCATTTAAACATTATCTCAATTATATTTCAATAAAAGAAAAATCCACCTATATTCCAGATGCAAACACACAACAATGAATAAAACCATCTCTAAAGTCAGGAAGTTTACACTATCCAGAGCGCCAGAGAGCACTTAGGAGAAAGGAAGTGAGGTTTCTTGGCCATCAGGGAGGGAAGAGCAGGAAGAGAAGGAGCCACATCTTCATCTTCCTTTGAAATGGGGAAGAAAAAAATGGACATACATGCAAATGGCTTCTACCTGTCAAGCCAGTAAGGAACACCTTACCTCCATTTACCAATGGGTAGCTAGATCCAATGACACAGGTAATGGTAAGGTCTCCTATCCAATGCTTTATGCAAAATGCAGGCCTAGCGAGCAGTTCAAAGGTCTAAGAATCCTTACACTAATACAAATGATCCCTGAAATTAGAGTCAAAAACAAGGTTTTCATGGAGTTCTGCCACAGGCTAGTTGTGTAACTTTAAAAGGATCCCTTAACCCATTTGGGTCTATCAAGTCAAATGATCTCTGGTCCCTTCCTGCTTATAGCTCAGGATCATCAATCACCACTTGGACCAGAGTAGAATGCCAACTCCCCAGTAATCAAAAAATAGAAGCACCCCACCCAATCTTGCTTGGTCAGTCATTAGCCAGCATCTTGCTACAAGACAGCAAACCCCAAACTGATTTCAAATGCTCAGCTATTTAATGATGGCCCTGGAAGGAACTGGGCAATAAAAATCCAAAATAACCAAACCTGGCAATTATCCTCAGCAACTTGGGAACATCTTAGTAGACAGCAGTTTGAAATGCTAAGAAAAGTCATATCATGTTTGACCTTCTATTTCCACAGCAATTTATGTTCTGCCTGCTTCCAAATGGACTTGTGCTACTATAGTAAAACTCTTAATC